GTGTATGGACTCTCATTGTTTATAATGATTTATTACAATAAGCTGTATACTGTACAATAAGCTGTATACTATATAATAATATTTAGTGTATGGACTCTCATTGTTTATAATGATTTATTATAATAAGCTGTATACTATATAATAATATTTAGTGTATGGACTCTCATTGTTTATAATGATTTATTACAATAAGCTGTATACTATATAATAATATTTAGTGTATGGACTCTCATTGTTTATAATGATTTATTACAATAAGCTGTATACTGTACAATAAGCTGTATACTATATAATAATATTTAGTGTATGGACTCTCATTGTTTATAATGATTTATTATAATAAGCTGTATACTATATAATAATATTTAGTGTATGGACTCTCATTGTTTATAATGATTTATTACAATAAGCTGTATACTATATAATAATATTTAGTGTATGGACTCTCATTGTTTATAATGATTTATTACAATAAGCTGTATATTGTACAATAAGTTGTATGCTATATAATAATATTTAGTGTATGGACTCTCATTGTTTATAATGATTTATTACAATAAGATGTATATTGTACAATAAGCTGTATGCTATATAATAATATTTAGTGTATGGACTCTCATTGTTTATAATGATTTATTACAATAAGCTGTAAATTGTACAATAAGCTGTGTGCTATATAATAATATTTAGTGTATGGACTCTCATTGTTTATAATGATTTATTACAATAAGCTGTATATTGTACAATAAGTTGTATGCTATATAATAATATTTAGTGTATGGACTCTCATTGTTTATAATGATTTATTACAATAAGATGTATATTGTACAATAAGCTGTGTGCTATATAATAATATTTAGTGTATGGACTCTCATTGTTTATAATGATTTATTACAATAAGCTGTATACTGTACAATAAGCTGTATGCTATATAATAATATTTAGTGTATGGACTCTCATTGTTTATAATGATTTATTACAATAAGCTGTATACTGTACAATAAGCTGTATACTATATAATAATATTTAGTGTATGGACTCTCATTGTTTATAATGATTTATTATAATAAGCTGTATACTGTACAATAAGCTGTATACTATATAATAATATTTAGTGTATGGACTCTCATTGTTTATAATGATTTATTACAATAAGCTGTATATTGTACAATAAGCTGTATGCTATATAATAATATTTAGTGTATGTATTCTCACTGTTTATAATGATTTATTACAATAAGCTGTATATTGTACTATAAGCTGTGTGCTATATAATAATATTTAGTGTATGGACTCTCATTGTTTATAATGATTTATTACAATAAGCTGTATATTGTACAATAAGCTGTATGCTATATAATAATATTTAGTGTATGGACTCTCACTGTTTATAATGATTTATTACAATAAGCTGTATGCTATATAATAATATTTAGTGTATGGATTCTCATTGTTTATAATGATTTATTACAATAAGCTGTATATTGTACAATAAGCTGTGTGCTATATAATAATATTTAGTGTATGGACTCTCATTGTTTATAATGATTTGTTACAATAAGCTGTATATTGTACAATAAGCTGTGTGCTATATAATAATATTTAGTGTATGAACTATCATTGTTTATAATGATTTATTACAATAAGCTGTATATTGTACAATAAGCTGTATGCTATATAATAATATTTAGTGTATAGACTCTCATTGTTTATAATGATTTATTACAATAAGCTGTATATTGTACAATAAGCTGTATGCTATATAATAATATTTAGTGTATGGACTCTCATTGTTTATAATGATTTATTACAATAAGCTGTATACTATATAATAATATTTAGTGTATGTACTCTATATTTATAATGATTTATTACATTAAGCTGTATACTGTACAATAAGCTGTATACTATATAATAATATTTAGTGTATGGACTGTCATTATTTATAATGATTTATTACAATAAGCTGCATACTGTACAATAAGCTGTATACTATATAGTAATATTTAGTGTATGTACTCTCTATTTACAATGATTTATTACATTAAGCTGTATACTGTACATTAAGCTGTATACTATATAATAATATTTAGTGTATGGACTCTCATTATTTATAATGATTTATTACAATAAGCTGCATACTGTACAATAAGCTGTATATTGTACAATAAGTTGTATACTATATAATAATATTTAGTGTATGGACTCTCATTGTTTATAATGATTTATTTCAATAAGCTGTATACTGTACAATATGCTGTATATTATATAATAATATTTAGTGTATGGACTCTCATTGTTTATAATGATTTATTATAATAAGCTGTATACTGTACAATAAGCTGTATACTATATAATAATATTTAGTGTATGGACTCTCATTGTTTATAATGATTTATTACAATAAGCTGTAAATTGTACAATAAGCTGTGTGCTATATAATAATATTTAGTGTATGGACTCTCATTGTTTATAATGATTTATTACAATAAGCTGTATATTGTACAATAAGTTGTATGCTATATAATAATATTTAGTGTATGGACTCTCATTGTTTATAATGATTTATTACAATAAGCTGTATATTGTACAATAAGCTGTGTGCTATATAATAATATTTAGTGTATGGACTCTCATTGTTTATAATGATTTATTACAATAAGCTGTATACTGTACAGTAAGCTGTATGCTATATAATAATATTTAGTGTATGGACTCTCATTGTTAATGATTTATTACAATAAGCTGCATATTGTACAATAAGCGGTATGCTATATAATAATATTTAGTGTATGCGTGTGCTATATAATAATATTTAGTGTATGGATTCTCATTGTTTATAATGATTTATTACATTGCTGTATACTGTACAATAAGCTGTATACTATATAATAATATTTAGTGTATGGACTCACTGTTTATAATGATTTATTACAATAAGCTGTGTGCTATATAATAATATTTAGTGTATGGATTCTCATTGTTTATAATGATTTATTACAATAAGCTGTATATTGTACAATAAGTTGTATGCTATATAATAATATTTAGTGTATGGACTCTCATTGTTTATAATGATTTATTACAATAAGATGTATATTGTACAATAAGCTGTGTGCTATATAATAATATTTAGTGTATGGACTCTCATTGTTTATAATGATTTATTACAATAAGCTGTATACTGTACAATAAGCTGTATGCTATATAATAATATTTAGTGTATGGACTCTCATTGTTTATAATGATTTATTACAATAAGCTGTATAATGTACAATAAGCTGTATGCTATATAATAATATTTAGTGTATGGACTCTCACTGTTTATAATGATTTATTACAATAAGCTGTGTGCTATATAATAATATTTAGTGTATGGATTCTCATTGTTTATAATGATTTATTACATTAAGCTGTATACTGTACAATAAGCTGTATACTATATAATAATATTTAGTGTATGGACTCTCACTGTTTATAATGATTTATTACAATAAGCTGTGTGCTATATAATAATATTTAGTGTATGGATTCTCATTGTTTATAATGATTTATTACAATAAGCTGTATATTGTACAATAAGCTGTGTGCTATATAATAATATTTAGTGTATGGACTCTCATTGTTTATAATGATTTATTACAATAAGCTGTATAATGTACAATAAGCTGTGTGCTATATAATAATATTTAGTGTATGGATTCTCATTGTTTATAATGATTTATTACAATAAGCTGTATACTGTACAATAAGCTGTATGCTATATAATAATATTTAGTGTATGGACTCTCACTGTTTATAATGATTTATTACAATAAGCTGTATAATGTACAATAAGCTGTGTGCTATATAATAATAATTAGTGTATGGACTCTCACTGTTTATAATGATTTATTACAATAAGCTGTATGCTATATAATAATATTTAGTGTATGGATTCTCATTGTTTATAATGATTTATTACAATAAGCTGTATAATGTACAATAAGCTGTATGCTATATAATAATATTTAGTGTATGGACTCTCACTGTTTATAATGATTTATTACAATAAGCTGTATGCTATATAATAATATTTAGTGTATGGATTCTCATTGTTTATAATGATTTATTACAATAAGCTGTATATTGTACAATAAGCTGTGTGCTATATAATAATATTTAGTGTATGGATTCTCACTGTTTATAATGATTTATTACAATAAGCTGTATAATGTACAATAAGCTGTATACTGTACAATAAGTTGTATGCTATATAATAATATTTAGTGTATGGACTCTCACTGTTTATAATGATTTATTACAATAAGCTGTATGCTATATAATAATATTTAGTGTATGGATTCTCATTGTTTATAATGATTTATTACAATAAGCTGTATAATGTACAATAAGCTGTATGCTATATAATAATATTTAGTGTATGGACTCTCACTGTTTATAATGATTTATTACAATAAGCTGTATATTGTACAATAAGCTGTGTGCTATATAATAATATTTAGTGTATGGACTCTCATTGTTTATAATGATTTATTACAATAAGCTGTATACTGTACAATAAGCTGTATGCTATATAATAATATTTAGTGTATGGACTCTCACTGTTTATAATGATTTATTACAATAAGCTGTATACTGTACAATAAGCTGTGTGCTATATAATAATATTTAGTGTATGGACTCTCATTGTTAATGATTTATTACAATAAGCTGTATATTGTACAATAAGCTGTATGCTATATAATAATATTTAGTGTATGGATTCTCATGGCTCTGTGTGTAAGAGGTGCTGCCCCCCCCCCCCTCCCTGGCCCTCCCTGGCCCTCCATGGCCCTCCATGGACAGCCCTGGGGCGGTAAGGGTTAATGCTGCCCATCCCTGGGAGAGACAGGCATGCTTCTAGCGGGCTGCTGACGTCACGCGAGTGGGCGGGGTTAACCAGCATCACCCCCTAACTAACTTCTCTTTCCCAGGTGGGCGGGGCCTCACTCAGGACCGTTAGATGATGCAGCCAATCAGGAGGCGAGGGGCGTGTCCGTGCTTGTGGCTTGCAGGCGGCCGCTGCCCGGGAGGACCAGTGAGTGCCAGTCTCTCTCCAAGATGGCGGCGCCGGGGGTGTTACTGCTCCTCATACACGGTGAGTGCCCGGACCGAGCGGGGAGACCGGACTGTGTGCGACCCCTCTAATACTGACTGGGGGGGGGTCTCTAAGGGGGTCCGTTATACTGAGCTCGCAAAGTTACTGCTCCTCTATATACACGTGTGAAAGCCCTCGGACTGAGCACCGGAGACCTGACAATGCGAACTCCTGGGTCCGAATCGACTGGGGGTCTCTAAGGGTCCGGTCTTCGTCCGCTATACTGACTGGGGTCTCTAAGGGGTCCGTTATGTATTGACTGGGGCCCCTAAGGGGTCCGCTATAAATTACCTGGGGCCGGGGGCCATGGGTCCGTTATACCTGACTGGCCCTAAGGGGGTCCGTTATACCGCATCTGACTGGGGTCTCTAAGGGGTCCGTTATACTGACTGGCCCCCTAAGGGGTCCGTTATACTGACTGGGGTCTCCGACTGGGGTCTCTAAGGGTCCGCTATACTGACAACTCTGCGGTGTTATCCTGACCGGGGCCCCTAACCGGGGGGGTCCGTTATACTGACTGGGGTCTCAAGGTCCGTTATACCGACTGGGAGTCCTAAGGGGTCCGTTATACCGACTGGGTCTCTATAAACCGTTATCCCGACTGGGGGGTGACTGGGGCTCTAAGGGGTTATACCTGACTGGGGGTCTCTGGGGGTCCGTTATACTGACTGGGGTCTCTAAGGGGGTCCGTTATACCGACTGGGTCTCTATAAACCGCTAGTCCGACCGGGGTCCTCTCTAAGGGTCCGCTATCCCGAATAGGGGTCCTGACTCGGGGCCCCCTCTTGGCTCTATACCCCGACTGGAGTCTCAAGGGTCCCGTTTATACCCACCGGGGAGTCTCTTATAACCGCCATACCTTATACCGACTCTCAAGGGGTCCGTTATACTGACTGGCCCTCTGGGGTCCGTTATCGAGGGGGGTCCGTTATCCTGACTGGGGCCCTAACTGGGGTCCGTTATACCTGACTGGGGTCTCTAACCGTCCTAATCCCAGACCGTTATTGGTCTCTAAGGGGTCCGTTATACCGACTGACTGGGGTCTCTAAGGGGTCCGCACACTGGGTAAATCCTATAAACTGTTAGGCCCTAAGGGTCCGCAAAGTCCGGGTTACACCGACTGGGGTCTCTAAGGGGTCCGTTATACTGACTGGGTGTCTCTGGGGTCAAGGGGGTCCGTTATCCTGACTGGGGTCCTCAGGGGTCCGTTATACCTGACTGGCGGGGTCTCTCCTATACCGACCAAAGTGTCTCCGTAACCCGTTATACCTGACTGGGGTCTCTCTATGGGGTCCGTTATACCGACTGGCTCTTAAGGGGGTCCGTTATACTGGGGGTCTCTAAGGGGTCCGTTATCCTGACTGGGGGTCTCCTAAGGGGGGTTATACCGTTATGGGGTCCGCTGACTGGGGTCTCTAAGGGTCCGTTATCCTATAAATTGACCGGGCCTCCCTGGGGTCCGTTATCCGACCCGAGGGGTTATACTGACTGGGGGCTAAGGGGGTCCGTTATCCCGACTGGCCCTATGTGGGGTCCGTTATACCGACTGGGGTTCCCTAAGGGGTCCGTTATCCTGACCCTGAGGGGGGGTCTCTAAGGGGTCCGTTATAGGGGGTCCGTTATCCTGACCTGACTAAGGGGGGTTATATACTGACTGGGGGGGTCCGTTATACTGACTGGGGGCTCTAAGGGGGTCCGTTATACCGACTGGGGGTCCATAAGGGGTCCGTTATCCCGGGACCCGAGGGGTTGGGGGTCTCTAAGGGGGTCCGTTATCCTGACTGGGGGGGGGGGTGTCCCTCTAAGGGGGTCCGTTATCCTGACCCGAGGGGTTGGGGGTACCCTTTAAGAAATGCTGGGGGAGGGTGTGTTATAATCCTCGGATATTTGGTGTTTATAATTCTAGGAGACTTGATGTCTATCCTAAGTGTGGGGAGATGTAGGTTTCCTCAGTACTTGGAGAGTTGATATTATAAGTGTTAGAAATGGTGGTATTTATCATCGAAACTGGTACACCGTGTTTATCATCCAGTATTAGCAATGTGTTCTCATCAATACTTGGAGATGGGGTGTTGACCATCAATACTATGATTGTTGATGTCTTTTTTATCAATAATAGGAGTGTGTATATTACAATTATTTACAATAAGTTCACCTGCAATACTAGAGTGTGTTTATTAATACTAGCTGTGTAAGTATTTAGCATCAGTGCTCGGAGAATGAGTGTCCTCACCACTGTCTGTTAAATAGAACAAGGGTACTAGAAGTGTGGGTATCTTATGTTGAGGGTTGAGAATGTGTAGTAAACAAATAGATAAACAATCTTTGAGTTTACCTAGTAACCATGGTTACAATGAGACCGGATGTTTACTTTGCTTTCCTGCACTAATACCCACTTGTTGTTTTAGGATATTGTTCTTGGCCTCCCCGTGTGTGTGTGTGTGTGTGTGTGTGTGTGTGTGTGTGTGTGTGTGTGTGTGTGTGTTATTCTGGTCTATTTACTGCCTTTTTATAATGATTTAGGATGTTGTTCTTCTAGAACACCAAGCACGCTTGATTGTGGTTTGGATGTTCCTGTTGACTTAGAGGTGGCGTGGGTCTTGTGGGATGTTCTCATTGACATGGTGTTGACTTGGAGATGGTGTGGGATGTTCTCATTAATGTGGTGTGGGATGTTCTCATTGACATCGTGTTGCCTTGGAGGTGGTGTGGGATGTTCTCATTGACATTGTGTTGCCTTGGAGGTGGTGTGGGATGTACAGGACCTCATATTGACAAATCCTCTGCTTAGGCAGTACTGCTCGTCCATATACTTGCATGGTCATGATGGACAGGTGGAGCCAAAAACGAATCATGCAGCTGTTAGACTGTATTTCTCATAAACTATTAAATGCACAAGTCTCAGCTAGTGGCTGGGAATAGGTCAAGGAAGCTGGACATCTAGTATGTGATGTTTCGTGGTGTAGGATATTTAGTCATGTTCTGAATTTAAGATGTTCTCTTGGTTTAGGTCTAGAATGTTTTTATGGCTAATGGCCGCTCAATATAATGATGTCCTTCTCGACCACATACTGACATGATGACTCTGGTGTTTTCCTGATACGATCATCAACAGGCACAAACTCTCTTGTTCAGATTTAGGAATCACCATGTATTAAGAGTGTTTACTACATATTCATTCTTTTACTGAATAGGGATCCGCTTAATGCTATTCGAAGTAACGCTAGGTGTTGTAATGCCTTTAATTGCTTAGAAAAAGTGACAAACAGGCCTTGTTGAATTGTGACTCTCTTAAAGAGAATTATGGGAGTTTTAGGCTAAATGAACGCCTATGCTTTAGTAGCTGAACGATCACAGCTCCCATCATCTCCAGCCATCCTCTTAAACGTGATTATGTAAACCGACATCCATCTTTAACTAGGAATCATTGCTCTATTTCACACACAAGGGTGTTTTATCAAGTTCCCATCTTCTGTACCATAAAGAACAGGCTGGAAATTATCCTTCCTACTGACACAATGAGTAGTGGGTGAGGAAGCCTTTTCTTTCCCTTCTCGTAGTTTGATATCCTGCTATGGAAGGATATTTCAGCTGTCCATGCAGCAGGGAAAGTTTATAGATCCGGAAAGATGTGTCCTAACCGGGTGTCGAGGCTTGGAGATCTTATTACTTACCGGGTATCATTTCTTTAAAATTTGTGATTCATAGTCCTCTCTGTACATGATGATGCAGCTTATGATAAGGTTTCTAGCTGACTTTGCTATAAAAAAGGTTACACAATGTGCAATGTTTGATGATTCACCATCATGCAATACAGTTGACTTAGATTTTATGAAATAAAGTGTGATGATAATCTGATATTATTATTATTATTATTATTATTATTATTTATATAGTGCCAGCAAATTCCGTAGCACTGTATATGACCAGTTTGCAATAAAGTAATGACCAAAAACTATTTTTTGTTCATTTATTTTCTTTGCACGGAAGAATAAAAAGTTTTTTTTGTTTGTTTTTTTGTTTTTATTGTACAATTTTTAAATTACCCATGCTGGTACTAGAGGGTTGTTTTACTGCATTATTAAACCATAAGCGCTTCCCTTCCTACATTCTCCGTTGATTGCAAGCCTTTGTGGCTACATGTTCAGATACATTGCATTGTTTGTGCTTTCGGTCTTCCTGTATAGCTCTGCAGAATATTTGACACTTCTAGATAATGACGACGATGCCTCTAACCTTTCTGGCAAATAATAATATTTTCTGTTCTCTGGAAAATTAAAATTTGATCATCGCTGATAGGACCGATGGACCTGTTACATTAAACACTGCACTAAGCATCAGAACCATAACAGTATTTATTCAGTGTGTTTTGAGTGGACACTTTGTCTGCCTTAGTACTTTCATCTCAACCTCTAACAAATTGTACCGCTGATGGGTGCAGAAACCTTTTTAAATTATTTTTTTTAGGTGTCTGAATTGTCCTAATTGAGTAAGTACATTGTCCAAGGGAATGCATGCTTGGGGAAACTATAAAATACTTTAAAGATAAGGCGTCCTGAAATGATACAACTTTTGAAGAATTCCGGCTCTCATTGCACTGGCTGAGTGTGAAGGGAGTCGTAATTTTTGATGGACATTTTGAAATATGATGTATATTGGTTTGTGATGCAACCTGACGGTTAAACCAGGGGTTGAAGAATAAGGGATTCACTTGGCTGGCGGAGGATGATGTGATTTACAGTCATACATTTATTTTTTTAATGCTGGAGGGGGGATTTGGTCGTGTGAGGCGATCTCTTCCTCCAGCTCTATAAGTGGTTAAACCATTTGTAATGTTTCCTTATCCATCTGGATAGAGACAGCTGTCTGTTTCCTCTCTGTCTTTTTTTTTTATTTTTTTTTTTTATGTCTGTTAAGTACGGGAGGGGGTTGCTACCCCTCCTGCCTATTGCTCCGATTTGCAGGACATTGTCCTCGAGGTCCAGGCGTCTGCAGCTTAGACAATACTTAAACGTTTGAAATGGAGAGCCATGTGTTTTCATATTGAGATTACTCATTCTCCTGTCTGGTTTCATTATTTAAACCTGATTTATAAACATACAGGTTGTAAAAGGGGAATATTCAGCAGGGATAGTCTTGGTTTCCACAGTGACTGCGCCACTTCTAGAACATTTAGATTTATAGCGGTTTATGAATAACGACCAGGAGATGTGAATATTGCATATTGTATTCTGTACAACTGTGACACGTCTGTGGGGTGGAAAGCAAAATAATAAAAAGGAGCCAACACGCTAAAATACATTATACTGCTTCTCTTTTTTACATTAATAAACCTAAAAAAATAATTGGATATTGTATTCGGTGCTGCAGAGCCATGAAGTTTGCTTCGGACATTGCATGTTGATGACAAGAGGTCACACAAACAACTTTCTTGACAAGTTCATGAAGGAGTTACACTGAGTAATAATTGGAATGGATTTAGTAATTAAGGCAAATCAGCTCCTAAAAGACAATCTAATCTCACAGTAATGGTTTAAAATGGGAAACATTTTATTTAACTCTTTGAATTACAAAGTAATTTTATTTGTGGCCGAGGATATGAGGTCAAAGATAGAAACATAGAATGTGACGGCAGATAAGAACCATTCGGCCCATCTAGTCTGCCCAATTTTCTAAATACTTTCATTAGTCCCTAGCCTTATCTTATAGTTAGGATAGCCTTATGCCTATCCCACGCATGCTTAAACTCCTTTACTGTGTTAACCTCTACCACTTCAGCTGGAAGGCTATTCCATGCATCCACTACCCTCTCAGTAAAGTAATACTTCCTGATATTATTTTTAAACCTTTGTCCCTCTAATTTAAGACTATGTCCTCTTGTTGTGGTAGTTACTCTTCTTTTAAATATAGTCTCCTCCTTTACTGTGTTGATTCCCTTTATATATTTAAATGTTTCTATCATATCCCCCCTGTCTCGCCTTTCCTCCAAGCTATACATGTTAAGATCCTTTAACCTTTCCTGGTAAGTTTTATCCCGCAATCCATGAACCAGTTTGGTAGCCCTTCTCTGAACCCTCTCTAAGGTATCAATATCCTTCTGAAGATACGGTCTCCAGTACTGTGTACAATACTCCAAGTGAGGTCTCACCAGTGTTCTGTACATGAGCACTTCCCTCTTTCTACTGCTAATACCTCTCCCTATACAACCAAGCATTCTGCTAGCATTTCCTGCTGCTCTATTACATTGTCTGCCTACCTTTAAGTCATCAGAAATAATCACCCCTAAATCCCTTTCCTCATATGTTGAGGTTAGGACTCTATCAAATATTCTGTACTCTGCCCTTGGGTTTTTACGTCCAAGATGCATTATCTTGCACTTATCCACATTAAATGTCAGTTGCCACAATTCTGACCATTTTTCTAGTTTACCTAAATCATTTGTCATTTGGCTTATCCCTCCTGGAACATCAACCCTGTTACATATCTTAGTATCATCAGCAAAAAGACATACCTTACCATCAAGACCTTCTGCAATATCACTAATAAAAATATTAAAGAGAATGGGTCCAAGTACAGATCCCTGAGGTACCCCACTGGTGACAAGTCCAAGCTTCGAATATATTCCATTAACTACAACCCTCTGTTGCCTGTCACTCAGCCACTGTCTTACCCATTCAACAATATTTGAATCCAAACTTAAAGATTGCAGTTTATTGATAAGCCTTCTATGTGCAACAGTGTCAAAAGCCTTACTGAAATCTAGGTAAGCAATGTCTACTGCACCACCCTGATCTATAATTTTAGTTACCCAATCAAAAAAATCAATGATTAGTTTGGCATGACCTCCCTGAAGTAAACCCATGTTGTCTCTGATCTTGAAATCCATGTGTTTTTAGATGTTCATCAATCCTATCCTTTAACATGGTTTCCATCACTTTCCCCACTACTGAAGTAAGGCTTACTGGCCTATAGTTGCCCGACTCCTCCCTATTACCTTTCTTGTAAATGGGCACAACATTCGCTAACTTCCAATCTTCTGGGACTACTCCTGTTAACAATGATTGGTTAAATAAATCTGTTAATGGTTTTGCTAGTACACCACTAAGCTCTTTTAATAGCTTTGGGTGTATTCCATCAGGTCCCATTGACTTATTTGTCTTTACTTTTGACAGTTGAAATAGAACCTCTTCCTCTGTAAACTCACGTGTAATAAATGACTCATTTATCCTTTTTCTCAACTGAGGTCCCTTTCCTTCATTTTCTTCTGTAAATACAGATGGCCACCCATGCATGGTGGGAAAGTTAGTTGATGTGTGCCGAAAAAGGTGTTTGGGATGACATTGTAAAAGATCTTGCCCAATGGAAAAATTTTAGTATGAAGAGGGATAATTAATTTAACCTCCTCTGGCGGTCTGATTATGTCAGTATTTTTGAATGTTAAAGCGATACATTGTTTTGTATGTAAATTTGTTTCATATTGTAGGCTTGTAATTCTTAGGAAAAACTTTAAATCTGTCCAAACAAGAGTCTAGTAGACATCCCAGGTATAATTAAGTTTGAAAAATGAAATCATATATTATAATCAAATAATGTAATCAAAACAAAAACACTGAAATTTGAAATATTACTAATCACTGTAATACTAGACACTGCATATTGGTTTAGTAAACATCCCAGGTATGAAGAATTTTGGAACATGGGACTGCACAAAGTCCGACATCACAATCCGGACAATGGAACCTGCTTTCCATTCTGAATTTTTTTTTACTGTCCTCTCGCTTCGAGCAACAAACCACGCACATCCTTGTAGGTGCTGACTTTTTATTGGTTGGTGGGATGTAGTCCATGAAGTGACGACCAGTCTGGTTTCCGGGTTGACCACGCCAACAGCACGACGTCCAGCTCTATTCACAGCCATTGATGGTGTTTGGTTGTTCACAAAGATACGTTCAGCAACTTTCCAAATGAAGTCAGAATGAACCACAGGCTTGTCACCACATTTATTTTTATTTTTTTTTACACCGAATGTAGGCATTCCACAAGCATTGCTCAAGAAGATGCCTGTAGTACTTCTTTTGCGGTTTCCTCATTGCTGGGTAGAATGTCATTGCTTGGTTGGCTCTGTTGACACCTCCTATGGTGTTATTGTAGTCTATCACTACTTGTATATTCATGATTTCTTTCCCACCTTTTGTGCGTACCATAACAGTGGAGGTATTATAAACTGTACTCATTAGGCACACATCTTTCCACATAACGGTTCCAGAGGCATCTGTTTTTTTTTTTTTTTTCCAGAAGAAACTCCTAAAGTTCAGGAGACGTATAAAAGTTGTCAGTTGTTACGCAATAGCCTTGATTTTAGCAATGGCTCAATGAGTGAAAGAACGGAAGATGTTGCCATTCCATAGTTGCTGTACTTTTTATTGAATTTTGTTACTTTTCCAGTGTAAATGGCTGAATCCCAAATGTAGCCAGTTGACTATTCGAATAGCACGTAGTATTTTATGCCAAATTGTACTCTTTGATGCAATGTATTGTACCCAGCTGAGCCTTCCCTTGTAGAATATTAGACTTTCAGTTATGCTGATATCTCTTTCTGGCACATAGCTCTGTTGGAAACCCTTTGGAATTATTTGAGATACTTCCCAAATTTAGTTTTGGTGCAGGATGAGTAGGTTCATCGAATTCTTCATTTTCGAAATGTAAAAATTTCATGATCAGGGAAGATCTGTACTCTGACATGACCGTACCAAAGAATGGAGCGACAAGTAATTTATTAGTTTCCAATACCACTTCTGCAGGGGTTTCCCCACCACTCCCAGAAGTATTGTTGGTCCCTTAAATTTCCAAATGTCATCTTTGGTCACTTGTTCCCACTTTCTGCTTCTTGAAAACTTCTGAGACAGAACAGCTAATTGTTGCTCTTTATCCTGGTTTTTCTCAGTAAGTATTTTTTTTTCAATAACCTCATCGGACAGAAATAATTTAAATATGCCAGGGGGTTGTTGTGTTCAATGTCTATTTTCATACCATATGCTCCAGCAAATGGGAATCTTAGGGGCTCTCCCTGATCCATACCACAGTTAATAGAACATCAAGTTCGCACATCACTGAGCTCAGTCGCTGTCATCGCTTTCAGTGTTTGACAAATTTTCCCATGAATCACAATCGCTCAATTCTACAAGTGATTCTAATTCACTATCGCTGTTTTGTAACTGGTCTATAACCACTTCTAAAGGGACGCTTTTTGGATGCCATGGACATCCAAGTTTCCAGGCAGAAAGAACGGTAAAAGCGCAGGCAGGACACTGGACAAAGCACTCGGACAAAACTGAGGTGAAAAGGTTTGATACAGTAATGTAATCCTAACAGATTACACTGTATTACTGTGGTGTGTTTTGTTTTATTTATTTAATTTATTTTTATTTCCCGACTGGTTCTGCCAGGCAGCGCTCGCAGGGAAAGGGAACCCGGAAGTCTGATGCCGGCATCGGGCGGAGGACACCAAGGGGCTCGTAGGGACAAGGTAAGTGATACTACAGTGAAATCCTGAGCGTGTCTAGGGGTTATCGCTTTTGGTACTGAAAATTAACCCAGAGCCACGCTCGGGATTAACCGTCGGAGAGGTTAAAGGAGAGATCTGTGTCCATAAAAAACATTGCTCAGGCTTTAGCTGTGTGCCTCTAGCTAAAGTGATGTCTGCTCATGCCTAGATACTGACTCTCCAACGCCTAGTGTCCGCCAACGATCTTAAAGGAAACTGCAACTGTCATGGATTCAGATTGGCTGGGCAATGTATTGAATAAACCGGAGTGTGACCTTGTCATCCATACGTTTTGTAGGTGACAGATCCACTTTAAAATCAACCAACCGCGTTAATTTTGCCAAATGAAAGCCTAGTTATAATGGTGTTTCATGGCAGTAAATCCTGTCACAAATGACACTTTTTGATGAATAAATAGGCAGTAAAGCTGTTATTGACAGTCTGCGTTCTGACGCTGTAATTGCCTGTGAATTCTGTGAGCGGATTCTTTCTGTAAGGGGCCACGTCTCTCTGCTCTGCGTGTCTCTCTTTATCGCTGTGTGTGCATAAAGCAATGTGTCTCTTCTACGTGTCTGTGTGTGGCCTTGTGCTTCTGAGTTGTGGGGGGGACGGGCTGTGTGTGTGTGTTGTCATGTCTGCTATGATGTAATTAAAGTGTCTTTGCCAAGATTCATTGCTATATGCTTGATAAGTTAAATTTATACTTTACTGTACGTCCAGTTAATGATATTCCCTGTGAAAAGATCATCTCACTATTTTGGGACTAAAATATTTTGGTTCCATTCTATGTTATGGAATATTTGAACTTTTTCTTCTTTTTTTTTTTTTCTTTCTTTCTAAAACACCGATCCCCCTGTTGGGGATATTCTCCATACCAGTTAGTTCAACATGGTTTACCGTATGTGTAAAGCTCTCAAAAAGCATGTTAAGTGGGAGCTGCCATCCTCCTGTCATAAGACATTGAATTATGAGGGGTCCTACCAAAAATGCCTAAAGCCACTTTCTTTTAATGTTTTTAAATTATTTTTTTGTGCTTGGTTTATTGTTTGATACATCATATATTTCAATAAGATCAAATATTTCCCATGGTGACAGGAATACAAGGTTAGAAATTTTTATGTAGAACTTTGTAGTTGTCAGTGAGGTAGCAATTGAAATGCAGTTAGTAAGAACATTTTTGTTGCGAACAGGTTCGGGGACAGACCCAGGGCTTTAGCAAGTTTAGCAAGTAGCGTATGCTGTGCTCCTGGGACACTCCAGATGTGGAGTGTTAGGTATGCTAGTTGTTCAGAGTCGAGGTATAGGGGCATACAAGAGTGTTTGTGTGCAATTACGTGCTAGTCCATGTGTGGCGTTGCGTGGTAGGCAGCGTATTTGTGCTGTTGCTTGGCAGTCTGAAATAAAGGCATCGATCAGTGCGTCTCGGCTCAGTGGTGCGGGGTAAGTACTTTTTGTGGTCGGATGGGTGATATTCCTCCGATTTTTGTCAGGTTATCGGAGAGCAGGTTGGATTGGCATCTTATCAGGATGGCTGTCAGGCTCCGCCACTCAAACCACTGCTTTCTGTATCACTTGAAGCACAAAAACAACCATATCTTAATGCAGCAGTTTTGGTGTATAGAACATGCCCCTGCAGTCTCACTGCTCAATTCTACGCCATTTAGGAGTTAAATCACTTTGTTTCTGTTTTATGCAGCCCTAGCCAAACCTCCCCTGGCTGTGACTGACAGAGCCTGCATGAAAAGATGGTTTAATAAACAATCAGATCACACCGCACTGCTGTAGGCTCTAGCTGGAAATTTAGAAAAAGCCCTGATAGTGGAGCGCTGAAAAAAAATAGGGTATGAAAAATAGGAAACCTAACAACCTATGCAATAATACATAAAATAACTATTAAAAACCCAGAAAATACAGGAAAAATCTCAATTCAATACAATAATGGGAGAAAATGAACAAAAGTCCAGTAATGGTGTCCCAAAGAAATGTGTTAAGTTGTCTACTCCATCACATCCATATATATGTGTAAAAGATAGGGGGGAAGGGGGTATCAATATACCATGTACTTTTCATTTACCACACTGAAGATTGATAGTTAAAAATCTATTTTATTCTAACAATATTTAAAAATATAATATATAGAAGTTCTTTCGGTGTCCCTTTTAGTCCTTAATTAAAGGGATTCTCTAGTGCCAGGAAAACAAACCCATTTTCCTGGCACTGTAGAATCCTGGAGCACCCCCATCCCACGTCGCTGAAGGGGTTAAAACCCCCTTCAGTCACTTAACTGAATCCAGTGCCGATGTCCCTCGGCGCTGGGTCAGGCTCCTCTCCCGCTGGCGGGGGAGACCTAATGCGCATGCACGGCAATGGCAGCGCTCGCATTAGGATCTCCCCATAGAGAAGCCTTATTTAACAACTGTATCCTCCTGGTAGACCGCGTCTAGAAAAGCTGCAATAATTGCACTTGCAGGGTTAAGGATGATGGGAGTTGGCACCCAGGCCACGTCAATGGGCTGAAGTGGTCTGGGTGCCTACACTATCCCTTTAATAGTAATTGAATGACTTTAAACGTCTTCTTATTGACGTGCATATGGGATCCAAAAATGTTATGGTGGCAACTTTAATGTAATGTCCCTTTAATAATTATTGCACAATTCATTTCTCTTTCTCTGTGTGAGAAGTATTGACACAGTGCCCCTAAAGCTAGCTCTACGACTGTATCCTCCTATTTTTTGCAGGAAGCTATAAATACTACCTTTCTTGCCTTTTCCGATAGATTTTTCGATTGAGCCTAGTAGTGTTGGGTGTCTGACAATTAAAGCTTTGCATTGTCCCTGGGTCTGCAAGTACCAGGCATGCGTTGGCAGTATTTACCACTGAACAGAGGCAGACAATGTAATCACTTCTTCACGCAACTATTGTCTTTAATTGTGAAAATGTTTGTTCATTCACTCGCAAAAGGGCTGTTGTGATGAGGTCAGGCATGGGGGGGAGGATTAGGAGACAGGAAGCCTCTTCCAATGGGTGTTTAATGGGCTGAAATGTGGGTTTAAAAATAAACTGGCTGTGGGATGGTTGGAGGAAATGAAAGGAGAGACAATAGGACCCCTTTAACCCTTTATAATCGCAAACTATTGAAAGATCAGTCTCTTATCGCAAATACACAACTGGAATCTTGACTCATTGACTTTAAACGTCTTCTGTTTGACATGCATATGGAATCCAAAAATGTTATGGTGGCAACTTTAATGAATTGTAAAATCTGTCAATCACGTGCTTCGTATTGCTTAAAAATGTTTAGATTCCATTTGGAGAATGTGTGGGGATCAATCCCAGAATGCAGTGGGTGCATTACATGCGGAGGTGAAGCACATTTCTATTGAGTATTATGGAGCTCTGTCTGTGTTTTTTTTTTTTTTTTTTTAACACTTCAGTATTTTGAACTGTGCCAAACCATTTTTTTGCTGAAAATGAGACCATTTAGCTGATGTTCTACAAATTGAAATGGCTGGCTGTCATTCTGGGATTTGCCACTGCAAGCCACGTGTGCAGAAGACTGAAGAGTTGTCTGGTTGTTTGGGAGAATGCTTCCTAAATAAACTTGTTTCTTGTTGTGGGTGTTTTTGTTTTGCTAAATCAAAGTTTGCTTTGATAAAATCCTCAGTTCAGTCCGAGCATAAACTTCATTCCTGGCTGCCTGACCCATTATATCTGGCTATAATCTCACTTAAAGGGACACTATACGCAATGTTTTTTTTCTTTATTTTTTCCAAGCAGATCTGTTGGAATAACCCAGAGCATCAAACTTTAATGTACGCTTTAGGCCTACAATCAATCTCAATTTTGGATCAGTGACATCTTTTGGAGTCCACAAGGTTCCCATAAGTCGGTGGGAGGGCTCCATTTTTAGGCTTGGATTTTTAATATTGTGATATGCAATAGGTGTCTGGCATTTCATTGTGCATGCGCAGGACCTGTGGAAGGCCCTGTGGAATCTTCTATATAACTGTTATCTTTTGCATTTATATTGAGCATAAAGAGGGCAAGCCTTCTTACATGCGTGAGCGCTCAATGGTGACATGGTGTCAAATCTACTTTAAACCAGTTTTAAATAAATCTGCATTGTGATTTTGTCTCTCATAGACAACCTAGTGATATGTGTACATGTCTGACCACCTACAATGATGTATTTTAATGGAGTTAATCAGTAAACCATTATTTGCTGCTAAAATATTGGGGCTACCCCACGTTAACCACTTGTCTGCTGTACTCTGTCATTGTGACTCTGAACAGGTGACTATGGCCCTGGTGTGAGAGGCGATCAGCTAGCTGTGAAACGTACACCTGTTGCCGTTATTGACGCAGCTGTCTGTCTGTGCACCAGCTGTCAATGGTTGTCCATAGTGTTTTTCCAAAGACTGTGAGCAGAGAGGATTCTGGGAGAGGCTGTGCATACAGCAAGGTCTAGGCTGCTGATTGAAGTTGGCTGTAGGCACATGGGTGACTGCTAAAATGTAAGTGCCAAGGCAGCTGTCAACCGTGTTTGTTCAATTGGACGCTTCCTTTAACTTTGTTACAAATCGACGTCCTGCCCTTAGCAGCTGTACGGTTTGCATAGGAAAAAGCATTCGATGTTTAGGTTTACATAGCTTATCGAAACATAGCTTATCGAAAAATTTATTACTGTGGCAGATTTAGAAACAAACTTAAATGCAATGGGAGAACTGTGACCATTGTGTTTTTTTTTTGTTTTTTTGTTTTTTTTATCAGACCGTCTTGTTTTAGAGATTTATTATTTACAATAAAACTCACACTATAATTCATAACGTTATGTTTGTGGAATCACAGGTGTAGAATAATACGTAGGTTTTTTTTTTTTTTTTTTTTTTTTTTTTTTTTTTTTTTTTTTTTTTTTTTTTTTTTTTTTTTTTGATCTATCATAGTTCCCTTTTTATGGATGAAATATTTATTTTATTCGCTTAAAGTCGTGGTACTTCGGCCTTGATTTAATATTCTTTGTTAAGCTTTCCTATCATTTAATGTTTTGGGCTAATCATTTTTTTAATTTTATTTCAATTCTTCATTTATGAGTTCAAGGATTCAGTAGTAAGAGAGTATAAAGTGACATATTACAGTGACAAACCTCACAATTCCGTACATTTAATTGGTTTTGCATGGTCTCGTACATGGGGTGATAGTCAAGTACACTGCAGGCCAAACTGCGATCTTCATGTCTGGCTGTACTTAAGTCGTCATAAAGAGCCACAACTTCTATTGGCTTTCTCCCAAACTTTTTTTTGTTTTTTTTTTATATAGGTTTTATGAGTAGAAATAGTAGGAAACAGAAGAGAAAGAGATGTGGACAGGTACGAGGATGAGAAAAAGGTTGAGTTAAAAGTAGAGCGAAGGTAAAGACGAGAGAGAGAGGGAGGGGGGTGGCAGGAGGTCGAAGGGGAGGGGCAAGTGCCAGTTTGGTAGTGATTGATGGTGACTCCTACATGGGTGCGCGGATTCCGTCTTTGCTTATGTGTTCCCACGTCCGTCTTAGTAGTCTTCCCAGGGTTACCATATCTAGCTAAATGTGGTGTATGTGTTTCGTACATGGGCCGTCATTTTGTCCATTAAGTAGTTGTCCTTCATGTTAGCGATAACCTTGTCCATTGATGGTGTTTCTATACTGAGCCACCCTTGTGCTAATCTGTCCTTGCTGCTCGTGTAACCTTATTGACTAATTTCTGTTCTCGTATTGTCAGTCCATCTAATGGTTTGACTAGAAGATGTGTACAGGGATCTTTACTGACCGGTATGTGTATGATGTCCCCTAAGAGTTTTATTTTATTTTTTTCTATCTTTGTCCAGTATCTGCCTACTTTGGGGAATCTCACCACATGTGGATATGCATCCCTTTTGCCCCGCAACCCCGCCAACAAACATCTGTGGGAGTTTCCCCCATTCTCTAATTATTTAACAGGAGTGGTATACCACCTCATGAGCGTCTGTTCCTGCAAAGTCACGCATATAGAGACCTCAGCTGGTGCCTCCCAGATGTCTTGCCAGTTCCCACCCTCTAACGTCGTCTGTAAGTCCGTTTCCCATTGTGTAATGTATGTAAGAGTGTTTTCGTCTTCGTCTGTCAGAGTGGGCTAAACTTTTAAAGGGGTTTGATATTAAATGCATGAGACTCACTTTAAGTGTGATGCTCTTTGTTTTACTCTGTTATATAACGCAGGGTCATGTATTTGGAATCTGCTCTGCGTTCAGTATTTTGTTTTTCTTCTTTGTTTATATAGGACGTTCTATGACTTGTTTAATCCTTTTACAGTCACTTTGCACTGTCTGAAGGTGTATTAATCCGTGATCTTTGTTCTATCAAGCTGAACTGAAAGCTTTATTTTTTTCTGTTTACACGTTTTTTTTTCAAAAAAAAAATTAAAAAAAGAAAGTCGTCATCAAAGCAGGAAGGAAGGACATAAAAATATTTGGTAAATTCTTTCTCCGGTCTGTTGCTGGATTAGAAGGGGGGAGGGTTGTTCTGAGAGGGGGTTTGCTCAGTGACCTTAATTAAGCCTAGTAAGGACTGAGACTCCATACTACTCATTAGTTTCGCTGTTGTTTTAGAACTGGCTTTCTCGCCCAATTTACAGCCAGAGATCCCTGTGGTTCCCTGGTAGAATTATGGTTGCGCAGTATAGCCTGGTGTCTCTGGGTGGGATTGGCAGCTGTTTTGCAGGCTAGACCAGTGGGACCTGGGATGTTTGGGAGAGAGAATTTGTGTTACATGTGTATCGTTTCCTTAGATTATAATACCATGGTTTGTTTTCAATGTGCGTTTCCTTTAAGGAAGCTGTAACTGTAGTACAATAAACACTCTGCATGCAAGGTGTGTGTGAGCTAGATCGAGAGAGATATAGATATCTATCGATCCCTTGACTTCCAGCTGAGGGATCTCTTATTTAAACCAACCAATTGAGTTGGTACATCGCATGATTTAACTGCTTTTATGCCGGTTGGTTGTTGAAGTGTCGTGGCTGCCTGCTAGGTAGTGTTATAAAATGATGTTGCTTTAAGTTTAACATTCTTAAAATCCATTCTGCAAAACCCCTTTATTAAACTCTACCCAGTATCCAAGAGGTTTCCATTGCACTGCAGAAGGTGGAAGAGCTGGTTCAGTAAAAAAATTATCACCAGCAGTTGCCTGTGGCCTAATGACCTTCAATGGCGACCTACTGAAATGACCTCGACATCTGTCTATTTTGGGTCCCAACCTAGTGATTAAGAAGCATTGTTCTAGGTTATGTAATGTATCTATATGGATAAATGTGCATATTTAATTTTTATTTTTTTTCCATTGTAATCCCCATTCCTGAACACATCCTCGTGCCTCCGCGTTCCCAAGACACTGTCTCTTTGACTTTCACAGTTTATTGTGATTTGATTCATATTTCCGAGTCATGTCAAATCAAGTCTGGTTTCCGTGTTATGACTTCAGCACTTTCCGGCTGCTCTAATGCTCCATAACCTATTAACCCTTTAAATGGTTTTTAGCCTGTCACAAGACTCTGCAGCGTTCAAGCTGTGTTCCGTCAGTTTCACTTGGGGACAAAACTCCAGGTATGAAGGGCAAAGAAACCCGAATAAAAATCCTGTAGGATGATGTGCATTCTTTAGAGATGCTGCATTTGGCGGGGGGGGAGAGCGAGAGAGAGATTGCAGTATATGGTGCAGGTGCTGCGATGTATGGCAGTGGAGGTTGCGTGGGTGGTAGACACTTCTATCCCCAAGTGGAAGTCAGTAGGTAGCTTGTGGTTATACCTGCTCCCCCTAGAAGTATACCAGTGTATTGCCCCTGCTGACCACTGCAGGCTTTCGCCCACACTCTGTTAGCACCTCTTATTTCTGAACCTTCAAACCAGGGTTTGGGAATTAGAAAGGATTTAGGGGATTGCCGGCCAGTCTGTCGGATTCCGTCTGATTGCTTTTAAGTTTTTCCAGATAGACAAAGCCTCCTAGCAAACGTGCTTTCAGTGTGATGAGCGTTACACCAGACGCTGTGTGACATGAACAGGGTTTGTAATTCTTTTCTGTGCACACTGCGCTGCATTGCAAATAATCCTGGGGGGTACTATAGTATGTTTTAATAAGTTCAAACTGGGTTGTGTACTTTACAGAATATTTCCAGCCTTAAGGAACACTCACACCTTCTCCTCCGTCACATCTAGTCGCTCTAGTGGGCGATAAATGGCGGAGGGACCACCCTTACCTCGAATGAAAACAGGCATGCTTTTATTGTCTAAAATCAGCATGTGTGGTTTGTGTGTGGTTTTTTTTGTTTTTGTTTTTTTTTAACCCAGACATTCAGTCTGTGCCATGGAAAAGACCAAACCTTGTTTTTATTTTTTTTTTTATTTTAAGGTTGTTTCAAATCCATAAACAGTGTAGCAATTGTTGCCTTTCTGTATAGTCAATATTTCTTTTTAAGGGGGCAAAAATAATTGGAAAGATTACATCCTTTTTGGCTATTCACCCTCCCCCCGGGAAACGCAATATATTGCAGTAGAAATGGTTTAAAATGTAATTCTGTGTTTAAAACCGTACAAAACACATTTATCCATAATAAATGATCATGCTGATGTGCAGATTGTTTGGGTTCAGGGTGCCCTGATGGCAATGATTAATCAGCTGGGTGCATTTAATGTTCAATCCATCATACAGAGCATGGCTGGCTTCTAGTTTGTTCCTGGCATTAACTTGGAGAACATGTAAATTATTTTCTGTACACAGAAATGAGTAAAGCGTCCAGGACCGGTTACCTTGAAATTAGCTGCCAGTAATCTGGTCATAAAATAGGTTTTCCGCTTGTGAGTGAAATCTGGGGGGCGTGTGGGAGGGAGTTTTTTGGAGAGTGTGCATGGAGGATGTCAGGGTTAGTTTGTGTTAATAATCTCACTCTAAGTGGCCTAAGCAGTGTGGAGCTACATGCTTGGGAGGCAATCAGATGGAGATATGGCATATTGTTGCCTGGTTACGTCATTGGTTAATAAGTGGGTGCGAACTGACCGTGGCTGCTTTGTAAATTGATCACTCTGTGCCTACTTCCACCATATCTGCCTGGATTCCTAGCCAATCAGCCTCCATCATTAAAGCGTTGCAGGGTGTCAGTATTTGGTATTGTGGGTCAGCCATTGGCAGGAGTAGACCAGTGGCCATATGGTGTGTTAAGGTGCCATGCACACGCCCTAACTTGCCTCTACATACATGCTAGACATTGTTACTTGCTGGTAAATGAAGGAGTGTTTATCTGCTGATATCTACTGCGTGGGAAACCTAATTTAATTTTTGTTCTTGATATAATTCGGTGTCTCCTGTCTGCACTTTTTTACAGGACCTGTAACCGGTTTTTGAGAGCCATCAAGGAAAACCTCTTGTTTCTCCCTTCTTCCCATCCGCTCTCTCTCGCTTTTATCTCTGATCTTGTCACCTCCGATTAAACTAGTCAACTGCTAAAACAAGAGACTGCTGGGATGTAACCAGATATAAATGATTCAGCCCGTGGGATGTTTCCAGAACTCTGGATTCTATAAATCATTATCAGCTTTTATTTATATAGCCCCAACGTTTAAACATGACGACACGGCCCCCATTTTTATATATCGCCAAGTTGTAGATAACAGGCTAGATACACCTGTTTGATATGGGGGCACTGCCCAACGTATTCTTTACTGTAGAACTTGATGGGTATTTTACATTATTTGAAACGTTTTGTGCATCCTTTTTATTTTCCAGTGTAAAGTTCTGAATGGTGTGAATTGTGCGGGCAGGTGGCAAAATATTGGATGAAGTTTTAAAAAAAGAGAAAAATCCCAGCTTCTGATTCCTTTGTAATCATTGGTTTATGTCCCTGTGTCATTGTCTTTCTTGGTGTCCCCTTTTTGATTTGAGGCAACCACATCTCTTTTGCTCATAAATGATGGTACTTGTTTTTAAAGGGACACTGCAGGCACTGTAACCACTGTAGTCAATTATACTATTACAGCTTATTGTGATTTTAGGTGCTGTGCCGACAGTTTTTGTCTAACCGTTCTACAATAAGTGTCTTGACAAAAAAGAGGATTCCTTTGTACCCAAAGAACTCCCTTTCGGATTAATGCCCAAAAGTGCAACTGAGTTCTAGTATTACATTGTAGGGGGAAAAAAAAGTATTAAACTGTTTAACGAATGGATACACAAAGCCAATATGGTTCCAGGGTTTTATTTAGAGGCCATAATCCACTAGGAGAGAACATTTTAGCTTAAAGACAAAACATTACTTTATTTGTGCCCATTCTTTCTACAATTCGCCCGTTCAGCTTGTGGTGGGGAGAGTGCGAGTGGTCCTACGTTTTGATATAGGTTTGTGTAGGGCTTGCTCTGCTTGTTTGTTATATAAATCTTTTATAGCAGAAAGTAGTGTGATGTCCACTTTTTTCTATAGCTCGTTCCCACCTCTGAACCTACTGGAATCCGCTTTCCAAATGTCCATGGGAGCCGAGGTGTGACTGTATGAATTCTTCAATTGTTTATTTAAAAAATATGGAAAAATGATTTAAACAAATGTGGAATTGGTGTTTACTGAATCAACGCCCAGTGGAAAATGAGCAGTAGAGCGGAAGTTTTGGATCTGGGGACGAGCTGCTGAAATAAAGTCACAGAACTGGTGATAAGACTTTAATTTGCAGGAGATTTACAGGGGGTCATTTTGCTAAAACCCCAAATAAGCATCCATGGGCACTGCAGTTTGTGTCGAGATGGGTAAGAACAATGGGAGTTGTAGCTCTCTGCGTTGAGATTTCTGAAGGTCGCTGACTGCTCTTGGTTAGAGTACACCGCGATTTCCTGAAAACACGGTCTCTTTGTGTAAACCACGTTTTTAGGTGTTGTTTGTGATCACGTGACTGCTGTATACGGTGATGTCATGTCTGCGGCTCTCAGGCACACAGCAAAATCATCCACCACCGCCCCCTCCAGAATAGCTAAGCCCTAATAAGCCTTCTATTGTCAAAGAGCCAGATTTGTTGTGTCAAATTCTTTTTTTTTTTTTTAAATTTTTTTTTTTTTTTTTAACCTGTGTGCCCCTGGGCAATACCCATCAGTAATCTGCAATGCTTTGTATTTGCCAGTTTACGGACTCTATAATATGCCCAAGCCTTATTGCACTGTACTGTGCAGGTCGTGAAGAAGAGGTTAAATAGAATTGCCCCCCTCCACCCTCCACATTGTGCTTTGTGAGGATTAACGGACAGACAGGGATTTAGTCTCTGTACATCGAAGATCCCCATTGAAAGAGCTGCACGTGTCATTTATTTCCACCTATACTTGGTCATGACAGCAACAATTGCTTAAAGGGTAGATGGTGCTTGACATGCGTAAATGTGTGATTTAGGGGTGGGCTAGCTTTGGAGGCTCCCATTGTGTTTCGTACAGATGAGGGCATGACCTTGTCCCCTTTCTGTATGAAGATAATTTGTTGCGCTCAGCCTTTTTTTTTTTTGTGCAGACTGGAAATCCTACGGGAAAAGCTGAATGTAAATCGAAAAAAAAAAACTTAAGCAATTTATTTTTTTCTTCATTTTCTAAATCTCTAAACTATCGTAATTACACGACACAGTCCAAGTTACAGTGACTGATCTTGTTGATGCATCACCATAACTTCACCTTAATCACTATGTGTTTTTGTTACTTTTGGGACCTAGATTGTGCTGGTTCTAAAAGCAGAATCAATGTGTTGGTTTTGTTTCTTTGGATATTTGGATTCACCCACCAGATCAGATCTCTGCCATAGACTTGCCTTAGAAGTGGGAATCTTTGTGTTAAGTGCTACCCTCTGGCATCGACATCATAAATTCAGGCTTGTGCCGGGTGGAATATTTTTGTAGACATTTCAATTCCATAATTTTAGAGCCAATGACCGATTTTTGTCCTGAGACTCTGAAGTTGGGATGGAGGTATAGAGACTTCAAACATGGTGCCTGTGTAGAAACTGTGGGGTAATAAATAACTGGTGACCTGCATAGTTCATATATCCTTTGTTATATATGTGTATACCTCACTGACAGAGTTAATGTTGACTCTTTTTCATGTCTTGTCAGTGACCGATATCGTATGGGACTTGAATCTGTAATTTTTTAAAAATATTTTTTGGTGTAGTTAATGCTTTTCTGTCACTGTTTGAATATTTTTCACATTTTGCGTAGAATGTTTCCCCCATATAGATTAATTTGCTGCCGGAGGAAGTAAGGGTGGAGGCCTTATGTGAGAACAGACTGAACTAGATCTACACATGTCATATCACTTAGCGACGGCAGGCTCTGTCATTTTCCTTTCAAACAATGCAGGAAAATCGTCTCTGGATCCAGTCGTTACAGTGGAAACATATTGTGCCGTCATTTGTGTTGATTTTGCCAAGAATCCCTTCAATAACCCCTTATTATAATTAACTCTTTCAATACCAGAATCTCGTGTAAACTTTTTTTTTTTTTAGTTTCATGAATTTTACTGAATATAATCTAGTCCATAAACCCTCACTCACCCTCATGTATACTCTAGTTCTCATTACCAACCTGTAGAGGAACACATTTTTCTGACAGAAGTCACTAGTCACAGATGTAATAACTTTAAAGTTGTGAAAAATGGCATCTCACCCTCCACATTCAACCGGTACAGGAAGTGTCATTGGGCCATACCATTCTTCCAGCCAGAAAGAGGGATATGAATGGACTCTACCATGTCACTGTCCGGATTACAATATCAGTCTAGACTCTAAAGATTGATTAACAAAAGTGCTATAACTTTTTTAAATACCTTTTTATTTTTGAAGTTGTATTTTTGTTTTTCTACTAACATTTCTGTGTGAAATATTGAAAGATAAAGGACACTGTATACTGTCAAACTTCATTTCCCAAATATTTCTATAAGGCTGAACAAATAAATGGAAAAATAAATAATTGTTTACATTTTACAAATTTTTACATTTATCTACAAAGCAATACATGCAGAAAATAGCTGTTTTTATGCTAGTTCCGTATCCCTTGTTATCAATAAATGATTTGCTAATTTTTTTTCGATCAAACAATGCTCAGTAGTGAAGGGGTTAATACGGGGAAGTTAAAGATCAGATCATTTCTCTGGTATTTCTCGAAATTAAAAAGGGTTTTGTGTGTAGGAAGAAATTACTTTCAGTAATCTGTATCAGTCAGTAATCTGTATCAGTCAGTAATCTGTATCAGTCAGTTCTGCTGAAGATTTAAGTGTGCCACATTTTCAAGTTGGAAAAGTTTTTTTTTTGTTTTTTTTTTGTTTTGTTTTTTTAAAGTAGGGTTAGACAGCCTTCAACACTCCAGATGTTGTGGCCTACATCTCCCATGATGCTTTACCAGCATTGTATAATGTAAGGGCATTATGGGGGATGTGGTGCACAACATCTGTGGTGTTGAAGGCTGTGTACCCCTGTTTTTAGGCAACACTACAGCCCACTTTTTAAACTGTTCCCACGAAACGGTTCAATGAAATTGTAAATCTTTTCAGTAAAACATTCACCTATAATTTGTGTTAATCTCTCTTCATGTTATGATTTGTTATCTTTTAAATTGATATTTAATTGTTAAATCTAGGGATAAATAATCCTAATATGTAGTACATACTGCGTAGATTTTTACATTTTCTGCAGACCGGCTTTGCTCTATAGTAGGGGTTGCAAACCCAGTCCTCAAGTACACCCTACCAGTCCAGGATTTAGGGATTAACCTACATTTGCAAGAAAAACCCTTTGGAATGATATGGATTTCTGCACAAATTTGTCATAAAATGTGATCTGATCATCATCTAAGTCACAGCAATAGACAATCACAGTCTGCTTAAACTAATAAACACACAAAGAATGAAATGTTGCCATGTTTTTATTGAACACACCATGTAAACACTCACAGTGCAGGTGGAAAAAATATGTGAACGCTTGGATTTAATAACTGGTTGAACCTCCTTTGGCAGCAATAACTTCAACCAAACGTTTCCTGTAGTTGCAGATCAGACGTGCACAACGGTCAGGAGTAATTCTTGACCATTCTTCTTTATAGAACTGTTTCAGTTCGGCAATATTCTTGGGATGTCTGGTGTGAATCGCTTTCTTGAGGTCATGCCACAGCATCTCAATCTGGTTGAGGTCAGGACTCTGACTGGGCCACTTCAGAAGGTGTATTTTCTTCTGTTTAAGCCATTCTGTTGTTGATTTACTTCTATGCTTTGGGTCATTGTCCTGTTGCAACACCCATCTTCTGTTGAGCTTCAGCTGGTAGACAGATGGCCTTAAGTTCTCCTGCAAAATGTCTTGATAAACTTGGGAATTCATTTTTCCTTCAATGGTAGCAATCCGTCCAGGCCCTGACGCAGCAAAGCAGCCCCAAACCATGATGCCACCACCACCATACTTCACAGTTGGGATGAGGTTTTCATGTTGGTATGCTGTGCCTTTTTTTTCGCCACACAGTGTTGTGTGTTTCTTCCAAACAACTCAACTTTGGTTTTATCTGTCCACAGAATATTTTGCCAGTACTGCTGTGGAACATCCAGGTGCTCTTGTGCAAACTGTAAACGTGCAGCAATGTTTTTTGTTTGGACAGCAGTGGCTTCCTCTGTGGTATCCTCCCATGAAATCCATTCTTGTTTATTGTTTTACGTATTGTAGATTCGCTAACAGGGATGTTAGCATTTGCCAGTGACTTTTGTAAGTCTTTAGCTGACACTCTAGGATTCTTCTTCACCTCATTGAGCAGTCTGCGCTGTGCTCTTGCAGTCATCTTTACAGAACGGCCACTCCTAGGGAGAGTAGCAGCAGTGCTCAACTTTCTCCATTTATAGACAATTTGTATTACCGTGGACTGATGAACAGCAAGGCTTTTGGAGATACTTTTATAACCCTTTCCAGCTTTATGCAAATCAACAATTCTTAATCGTAGGTCTTCTGAGAGCTCTTTTGTGCGAGGCATCATTCACATCAGGCAATGCTTCTTGTGAAAGGCAAATCCAGAACTGGTGTGTGTTTTGTATAGGGCAGGGCAGCTGTAACCAACACCTCCAATCTCATCTCACTGGCTGGACTCCAGTTGGCTGACATCTCACTCCAATTAGCTCTTGGAGATGTCATTCGTCTAGGGGTTCACATACTTTTCCCACCTGCACTGTGAATGTTTACATGGTGTGTTCAATAGAAACATGGCAACATTTCATTCTTTGTGTGTTATTAGTTTAAGCAGACTGTGATTGTCTATTGCTGTGACTTAGATGATGATCAGATCACATCTTATGACCAATTTGTGCAGAAATCCATATCATTCCAAAGGGTTCACATACTTTTTCTTGCAACTGTATTTTGTCTAAAAATAAAATAAATTTTATTTTTTTTTAAATTTTTTTTTTTAAATATCCAAAAACTAGGTAATCAATAAATCCTGGACTGTTGAGGGTACTTGAGGACTGGGTTGGGAACCCCTGCTCTATAGCCTCTCCACGCAAAAGTTCAACTAACATGAATGGTACTGGGCTCTCGAATATTTTGAGGTCTTCACAAATGTTTTGCCTTAGTTCTCCAAACCGTTAGCTGTGCATTTTCCCCAGTTATCATTAAATTTTTGATAAATACCCACACAACTGATTTTCGAAATAGACTGCCTGCCATCTCTACCTTTAACCCCTTAAGGACCAAAATTCGGGAATAAAAGGGAATCCTGACACATGTCATGTGTCCTTAAGGGGTTAAATCTATTTTAACCCTCTTCTTGTCTGAGAGAGCCCCTCACCCTCAGCAACTGTGGTCAAAGCTTCAAGTCGGGAGGTTTCACTGTGTGACTGCTTGGAATTTCTGTTAATGAATATAGCCCTGTTTTTATTAAATTGTATCTTGCTTCCCTGCCAATGTTTCCTGTACTAAGACAGATGGGGGATTCCAGTATTCATGTAGTGATTTTATAAGGTTTAGAACAGCTGTGAGGAAAAGTTATCTCTAACCCTCCTTATCTCCCTCTATACACTATCTGTCATTGGAACCTCCCATGGTGTCCGACAGACATTTAGCCCATGGTGTGCCACACTGCTCACCTTGTGTTCACCAACCTCCTGTTTTTAACTTGGAACCATTGTATCAGAATGCTGTAAAAGGTTCATCCACTCTGGACATTTTCTTGGGCTATGGAACTGGCTTTCAATCAACGTAGTGTTATTTTTGTAGCTCAGAAAAACTGTCAATGTTGAAATTTGGCCTTGAGTCTTTCATATATTTTGATTGTGACTTTCTGTGAAATATAATTCATTCAGAAGGTGTAATATTAAACTGTCACTTTAAATAACTGGGGGTTGTGGATAAAAATGATGGCATTTAGTGCACATGTGCCATGATCTTATGTTTAAAACTGTTATTCCTTAGTTTTTATATTGGTGACTTTTTACTGCCTTTTCTGTAATGGACCAAATAATTTCATATAGAACTAGGAATTATTCCTCAAACCGGAACACTGTGAAAGCTTTTTAATTGTCTTGGAAAACTGCTACAGTGGCAAAAATAATTGTAGTAGAAAGCGGCATTTTGCGGCACCATAAGCCTGCCTCTTTGACCATGTGCCTTTTCCTCAGAAAAGACCTCCTTATCAAATGTATGTACAGAGCTCAGCCACTGACAGTACTGAATCATCTGAGCTGTAAAACAACCTACATCAGGAGAGGACGCCCAGGGAGACCGTAAGGATATCACTACCAGTTTGTAGTTTTTCTGACTTTACAGGTCACTCAGTGCTTTTGGGGCTGAGACTGTGTGCATACGTCTGATAAGGAAGTCTTTCTAGCCTGAGGAGGTGTGGCTAAAGAGGCCGGCTTATGGTGCAGATTTCTGCAAAACATTTATTTATTGTGCAAAAACCATAAAGATTTCAGCATGCAAAAAAAATACAGCATTCGAAGTCTAATTTTTAAGGATTTATATACCAATGGTCACTTAGATGTAAGCTTATTTTGGTTAGGGGAGATAAAAAATAAAATAGTTAGTGACATGACATATTCTGTAGTTAAAGTGTAAATTCAGCAGGAATCCAGAGGTCGACATGCAATCTGGTTGCTTGAATGTTCCTTTCTCTGGAGGGATATTTAATTATGCCATTGTAATGATTATTTTTAGTGCAAACAGACTTGTTTTCTTGCACGCCTGTTTCTGCCGTAACTATAGTTACTGCAGACTGCCCATGGTCCACAAGACGTCCTTTTAAATACCAGTGCTCCTAATTTTCCATCCACTTGTTCCAAAGGACATCAGTTCTATAAATAATATTCTGTAAGGATTACAGTAGGGTTTTTTTGTGTTTTTTTTTTTTTTTTTGCTAGACTGGAGAAACTGGCTATTTCTGCAGTTTCCTCTGGGGTCAGGTGAGCTAACAGTGCCTGGTGCTTTAAGTGTTAATGGAATAAAACGTAAATTGTTTATTCACTTCAAGTGCAGTTTTGTAAATAAACAAGCAGAAGATTTGTACAATTTTGGTCTAAATGTTCTGTTTACATTTTATTAAAAAGAACCATTATAATTATCATATTATAATTTGTATTAATCCGTTTCAGCTTTTGAACTGTAAACATTAAAATGTGGTGAGGGAGAGCAATGTATAAATGTAGGGTGATAATTAATTGGCTGCAGTGTATTCAGCTAGTTATCAAGCCTTGAATTTAACGGAGTTGCATATATGCAGAGCCAATCCTCCAGTTTGTCCTAATTACCTGATTTTTGCCTTGTCTTGCCCATGAATATTTGTGAGTTAGAAACATTTGAAGTGTATCTAAACAGAGAACGGAATGGCTGCTCGGGCAGTGCTGCTGTTATAATTAGTGAATTGCTAATGGGTCGCACTAATTTCAGAATAAAATCCGAGCTGCATTCTATCAAAGGCATTTCTTGGCATGCTTGTGTTTGCATTTCACTGGAAAACATGTAATTTCCAAAATGCTTTAATTGCAAAGAGTTTTCCATTGTGTGTGTGTGTGTTGCACACAGGGCTTTTCATTTTGCCCAAATTATGCAGCAATGGAAAAAAAAATGTGAGAATTTTAATGAAGTTATTTAGTGAATAACTGATTACAGATGGTCTCCGATACGTTGAATTCTTGCCGTCTTCACTTGCACTTCTGGATTCTAGTAAATTCAGTGTCAATGGCGCATTTTCTAAATTAGGGAAACTTGTAACCAGTGAGTTTTCCAAAAAATGAACCATGTACACCTTGCACGTAGTCTTATTGATGGCAATGGTGACCTTATCTGACTTTCTATTGGTGCCGATATGTATGTCCATTTCTGAGCTGTGCACTTTTAGTGGCTGTCTTGTGCAGAGCTGTGATTTTTTTCTAAATGCCATCATGCATGAGGTGAGAATGGATTTAAATATGTATAATTTTAACTGGCTCCTCGTGTTTCAAAATTGGATTGTGGGTTTTTTATTTTTTTTTATTTTTTTTTTAAATTTCCTTTTCGGTATGTTTTTGAGAGAACTAGACATTGCATCTAATCTGCTTCACCGTACATTATCAATTGTCTTGTTTATAATGTAAGAACAGTATTTCAGACCCAATGAACAACATTTATAACAAAGTGTGAATGGGAAGATATATATAATTTTGTTTATAAACACCTAGTGCGACAAAGTACCAGTATGTACTTTATGGTCTTGGTGATGTATAATATCTCTTCCCATTGCTTATCCAGTCATCCAATATTTTATGCTGCTTAACCCTTTGAGTGTTTGGGCACAATCTGCCATTAAACGTGATAAAGGGTCAGTCATAGCACAGAACGTTCCCTGCAGTCTCTCATTTCCCACCGAGAGTGACTTCTAACTGCAGTTTTCCCTTTTACAAGAACCGTCCAACTTGTGCATACAGCTCTCCTGGAAAGAGCCAGGGCTGCAGCGATGCACATGGGTGGTTAGGGGCTCAGTAATTGAGATTTATTTAATTTTTGGCCTGAATTTTGCAATTCTGTGTTAAGGTCCCTAGAAGTGTGTGTGTGTGTGTTCGGATTCGTGGCAGTTCATGACTCAGCTGTAGTCACGGAGCAGCCCAATAAGCTTATTCACTAAACCGTTACCTGCAGCACATGGAATATAAAAAGTGATGCTGAAATGGCAAATTTCGAAAAACAGATAAATGGGAATTTTTTTTTAATTTTTTTTTTTTAATTTTTTTTACATTGTCGTTCTTTTGTCCGATGTGTTTCAGTTGTTTTTAAATTCACAGTGAATAAACATTACGGTGTCAGATTGGCAGACACAATGTGATGTTTGGAGCAGATCACCTGTCTTTAATGAGTCCAATTTCCCTTGCAGGCTGCGCTGTTCTGGCAGTGGAGCTCAGTACAAGCAATCAGAATCCAGTGGTCGAGGAATATCAAAGTAAGTAAATGGGGTGACGGCGTTTTAGATACTGTGAAAACATTCTGTAATCCAGGCAAGCACTACAGCACCCAGTATATAGTAAAAATTGATAGAGCTGATCTGAGATCAACAGTTCAGGTTATGGGGAAGGACTCATCAAAATATATATAACCAAAAATTCCATAAATCAAGTGTAACGGATCCTGCTATCCCTGTAGGAAAGATCCCAATCCCCCAAACATGAGTAGAGACTTCATGAAGGGGTAAAACGATCTGGTTTAATGCTGACCACAGCTCTGCCTTTTATGATGGTCTTCCAGCAAGAATTACTCCCACAGGGACCTTGTAGAAGACTGTGACAAATACAGTAACCAATCATTTATTATTGCAATAATAAACACACCCACACAAACAGTGAAATCCCTCCTCTCTATCCTGGAGATAATTGGCTTAAGTGGCAAGAGTAAACGTATTTATCTCCAGGTAGAGAGAAATACTTTCTTTTTCCATTATAACAAAACTGTATTAAAATCCATAACTTATATTTCGCCTAATGAAGTCCCCATGTTCAATATACCCCCAGATAGCATGGATCTGAGTGCACAACATAGTCGAATAGCGCTTAGATCCCACGAACACCATTCAGACGCCATGGAGTTAAAGATTTAGTTCACCAGTTGTTCGTGAAAATGGCTTCAGCTACCTGGGGTCGGTCTTTCGTATATAAAAATGTCCTGAACAGTATAGGGTTCGTGCACTACGAGACGAACGCGATGGATGTGGGTAAGTCTCAGCAGTGTTCGTATGAAAATGTGTCCGAAAATAGTTCCATACTGTCAACGACAATGCACCGCTGGGCGTTCGATTTAAAATGGCCGCCGCCACATGTTCGAAAAATGAACGATGACCACCTAGCCGTTCAACAAATACTTGTGGTTAACTGCAATGGCTGGGTGGTTAATGAGCTGCACACAACCATTGAAGGTGGTCTGATTGGTGATTTATTCGGTTATTTGCAATAAAAGTGTGAAAGGGGCAAACACACGAATAACGTACAAAATAACTGTCTCCAGCGATTTTGCAAAAGAGGGGTTTTGTCACATCAAGTCCATCCATTTTCCCAAGAAACAAGTTTGATCCAAAATGTATCTTATTGTTTAAACAGATGAAGTTACACTTTTATATATATTTGTGGTTTATTTGAATATTTCTTTAAAGTTATTTTTTTTGGTTAAAGTGACACTAGGCACAGAAGCTAACCTGTTAAATCCAATATATTGGTATTAAATTAATATACATGGCAAAGAAATAAATTAAATTTTACCCAACCTGAAGTGACTCCAGACAAAATGTATCAAGTTTTTATATCAAGAAACTCAAGTCATGATATAATGTGCCATGCTAATAGAGAATCCCTGGAGGTTAAGGAGGAGGAACAGGTGTCTGTATAGTAATGTGTATCATTCGTGTTTGGTTGTGTTTTTTTTGGTGACTTTCATTAAGTGCTATCATATGAGATTTTTATGAATGATGACTTCAGCGAAGTTGAGTTCATGTTAATGTCCCTGTGTGTTTTTCGCAGGTGTCGAGCTGTCCTGTATCATTAAAAGTACCACCACAAATGATCCCAGAATTGAGTGGAAGAAAATCCGAAACGATGAGACATCCTACGTGTATTTTGACAACACAATTCAAGGTTTTATTTATTAAATTCATTCCTAGATTAACGCTTGGATCTGTCATATAGAATATCTGGCCTGGCTTTGCTTTCATTAAGATGGGGCAGCTTCAGGCCCTTAGTAAATAACTGTTTTTAAAATAAATTAAAAAAAATATATATTTTTCTTTTTAATGATGTGTTCATGGCTTGTGGTATCGTGTGTGTTCAAGTAGAGATTGTAGAGATAGAGAGAGAGAGAGAGATAGATATATATATATATAAATGCAGTTTCTCCTGACATACTGTCTTTATAATGCAACTTAACTATATGTCATTGTCACACAATGTTGGTTTCTGCTGCACTCCAAAAATAAAGAATATTAAAAAAAATACAACAAACACATGAAATATAGTAAAAACAAAGTAGTCTCCGTATCCAATGCGTTTTGTCCTGTGGTGGACTTCTTCAGGGATGTATCCAGTGGCCTTGCTTTAAGGGCAGATTTTCAGCATCTGATCTTGCGCACGTTGCACCCTGGATCGCATTAGGCCTTTCAGGATCGTGACGACTCCGGTGACGTCACGTCCTCTTGATTTTGGCAAGAACCAGCTTCTGTTTGGAGATCGGACGTACGTCTACATGAAAGGGTTTTGTTTTTTGGGGGGGGGGAGGGTGGGTGGAAATATAGTCTAAAACTTTGTGTTATTGTCCCTGTATTTATACTGTATGATCTTTGTCCAGTTTTCCTTCTTGGTAAAGATAGTATTTCGATGCTAATCTTTAGTCGGTGATATTTATACAATCTTTACTAGGTGACCAGTTGATGGGAGATTTGTTTTCTTTATATAGAGTTGCTATAGAGGGGAGGTTGATGGCTTCCATTTTATTTTCTCCTTTTCCATGTGTTGGGACTTCTAGAGTCTGTATCCTCGGAGTCACTGTGGATGCCCCGACACTTTGCATTTCAAATAGATAAGCAAGAATAGGAATCTAATCAAAAGTGTTTATTGCACCAGCATGTAAGCCGACATGCTATGTAAAAAGGAATTGTAAATACCCTGAGAGGTTTAAAATGGTGCCCAAACTGCTGCTTTGATAGTCCATCCCGGTGTTTGTGTATTGGATATAATTATCTATTGCTCTGTCGTTCACTGCCTGAAACTGTGATTGCTCATACAGTGTAAATCTTTTACCAGGGGATCTTAAAGGGAGAGCTAAAATCCAGTCAAAGAGTTCTCTGGTAATTTTAAATACCAGCAGATCAGACAATGGCAAGTACCGCTGCGAAGTGGCTGCCGTCGATGACAGTAAGAAGATTGATGAGATTAACATCTTCCTGACTGTGAAAGGTGAGGCACAGCATACCCATGTCATGTGCCGTGTGCGAGCGTGTTTTGACAACTTGATCCAGTATCTCTCATTGTCTAATCGATAATAACATTGTCTCCGTGTTTTGTTTTTCTTCACCCAGTAAAACCTGTTGCTCCCAAGTGTACTGTACCCAAATCTGTCCCCGTGGGTAAATCTGCTGCCCTGCACTGCCAGGAGAATGAGGGGTACCCCAGTTCTCTCTACAGTTGGTATCGCAATAGTGACCCTCTGCCCAATGACTCAAAGACCAACCCGAAATTCTTAAATTCTTCATTCACACTTGACCCGAAGACCGGTACCCTAGTAAGTTGGTCAATTATTTTTATATCCCATTTCATTTTCTAACCCACATATTCAAGCATTCCGTGAGCACCCCACTGAGGACTCAATCTCCTGACGTATATTGTTATATTAACTAGAGTTTAAAGGGATTCTATAGTGCCCCCCTCCCTTGCAGCTGAAGGGGTTAAAACCCTTTTAGTCAATTACCTGAACCTTCCCTTAAAGTAGGATGTGGCTGTCAGTTTGATGTACCTTATTTTGATAACCTACCTAGCCACTAGGGTGTCGTCCTATAATCTCTCTCATTTCCCTTGTTTTAGACATTTTCTGCGGTAAGTAAAGGGGACATGGGACGGTATTACTGCATTGCCAGCAATGACGCCGGTTCAGCGAAATGTGATGAACAAGTTCTGGAAGTGTGTAAGTAATCAATGTACTCACCATTGTTGGTCTCTTGATGGGCAGAATTAAACACCAACCCGTACCGAGTTTTGTATGAGAGTTGAGCAATTGCAATACAGTTTATATATGAGCTAATGCATGAAACTATTTCTGCTACTAATACAACAGGCCAACAATAAATATGCAATACTTTCTATTTATTTTTGCAATTATACTTCTGCATGGGGGGGGGGGGTGGTGTGACATAGGAGTCTACGATCTAGGTGACTCTCAGCTCAGTCCACCAACAGCCCAAGATTTTGGCATTTCATCGTTCTATTCCAGTGAGAATACTGACAAATCCAGGACCCCTAATGTACCTTGAGAACTGTTGGGAATCCCTGCTCTAGTCATCATCTAGCTAATCTATTGAGGGCTTTAAAAAAGCAAACTGCTTCCATCCAAGCATTAATGGGCGTAACAATCCGACCCTTCCTTTTTCATGCTTTGTACTTTGCATTAATCTTCTTCTCATTTAGATTTATTGACACTCTTTTGCAGATGATCTGAACATTGGAGGCATTGTAGGAGGAATATTGGTTGTCGTGTTGGTCCTGTCCTTAATCACCGCTGGCATTTGCTGTGCCTATCGGAAGGGTTACTTTGCGAGCAACAGCCGTTCCACTGGACAGAGGTGCGCAGTTATCTTGTCTAATCCGTGGCAGGGACGGATATAGCCTTACCACCGCACGTTTCTAAATCCCTTTAGGCTGTCTGAGAACAGCAGGAAATGCAGTTCACAAAGGAGTGTAGTGGTGTGTTCATCACTTTTATAAGGAAGGAATGAATTACACATCGCTTAATGTGTCCAGGTGCCACATAGTAACATGTAACCATACCTCCAATTATATAGCCTTACTACATGCCGTCCTGTAACGACAATTATTGACTTTCTGAGCAAAGTGCTGTTAATATGCTATGTGAACTCTTGCTATTCGAGAGGTGTCCAAAGTGAAATACTGTCAGGACTTTACTTTTCATACACACATTTGAAATACAGCAATTACTACAGTCCTTAGGTTGAAATATTTTAGATTGAAAATGTCCTAATTGAAAGAGTTGAAGATGCATATCAGCCCAATAGGGAACACCATCGTCAATGAGCACAAACAATCTAGAAATATGATTCAGTCTTGTCTGTCAGGTTCTTGTTGCATATCAGACTACATTAGCTGGCAAAGTATTGAAAATATGGAGATCTGGTTTTTAGCCAGGCAGCTATATTTACTTTGTGGCATTATACCTACATATCAAGGGTATATTCTGTCATCTGGGGAATCTACATTTTCAGATGTACCAGTAGAATCTTTAGAAATACCTGTGCAGAGAATTAAGCAGTTTTGCTAGTTCTCGTGTCATGTATACGGTGTTCTAAAATTGATATTTTGTCTTTCTGTATTAACTGAACCTATTCTAGTGGGAGGTTTGTAAGACAGCGTAGCATACACATGCTAATATTTCATAGCCTTCCCGATCAATATTCTAAATTAATATAAATACATGTGTACATATTGCTATAGAGATCACCGAACAGTGTATTCATGAAATTGCTGTCATAAGTTAAAGTGGTTGCTGTGCAGTGAGTAACCCAAGAATAAAACCAGTTAATCTAATGGGTTTTCTTTTCTAAACAGCTTCAAGAATCCTGGAAAACCAGAAGGGGTTAATTACTTACGGACAAACGATGAGGTGAGTTATAAAGTGCTCTAGCTCATCAGCTATTCTTAAAGGGACACTCTCTCATTGAAGTGGTGTGGGTGCAGTGTCCCAGTCCCACAATGTAAATCATTACAGATTTTGAGAAACTTCAAGTTACATTGCAGGACTAAGACTGCCTCTACTGGCACTTCCTGGTTTTTGGTCACATAAATGATTCTAGACATCTAGTGTCCGTAAAATCCTTGTAGGAAACTTTTGAAGCAATGTGCCCTAGGTGCATCCGTTGATCAGTCACAGGAGCGGGTGGGGTCTGTAGGCTATTCTCTATTTCACAGGATACTAAATTTAAAAAACCAAAAACTCAAAATTGTAAATTTGGTTGGATATAGCTTAATTTTAAAAGGCAGAAATATTATGTTTAACTGACACCTGAATCAATTTTTGTACGTTTCATAGTAGCCTTTGAAAAGTGAAGGGAAATCAAACAGTAAACAGAGACCCAAAGTGAGGGCTAGAGATTAAATTTTGCTCTGACATGCATGAATACTTGCAGGGCGACTTCCGACACAAATCTTCATTCGTCATCTGAGCTGTCCAGCTGTGCAAGGCCATTAACTGCCTGCTAGAATATTGCACTCCGAAGGGTGAAGACATCCCATCAATGAACTCTTGAGATTTGCCAAAGTCTATAACCAGACCATCCTCCGTTGGAAACTAGCCTGACACCTTGTGGAATATAAACAGCCTTGGTGATACAGGCCTGTGTATAATAAGCGTGATTTCTAGAACATTACGTATCCAGGAGACTGAAGTCTCTGCTAAACAAGCACAGACTGTTTTGAAGTTCCTTTTACAGTATTAACAATGTCACTGCCAAAATGGACATACTGAGCCTTGAGAAAACGTTGCTTCAAACGATGAGGCAGAGCAGCACCGGGGAAAATTCAGACTGCGATTTGTTAGAACTTCACTGCAAATTTTTCTTCTGTGGTTAAATAGTTTCTTGTATGACTTCTAGCATTCATTCCTTAATCGAAACGCCAAAGCACACATAACTGAACTAACTCTGCCACTAAAGTTTGTTTTCCTTTAAAGTCAAGTCTCCTTTTAGGCAGGAGATGGCTTGCAATGTGCTGCTGCCTCTTGCTGAGACTGAAGGAGTTTGACAAATGATTTGCTGCAAAGGTCTATTTTGAATATGTAGGAAAGACGTTTCTATTTAAATGTAAATATTGTTTTTAATTTTTTTATTTTGTACCAATACCAGGATGATATTGTAAGTAGTTATTTCACTGTTTGACAACTGAGCCAGCAAAACACGGTTTCCTGCTTCTGAAATGAATAAGGCTATTTGCTGACACCATGAAATGTATAAATATCTTATGGGCTGTGTGTGTCCCCCTCCCTGCAGGCGAGCCAAGCATTTTATTAATGATTCCCAGCGGATGATTGATTGAAAACATACAGAACATCAGTGTCCAGTAAAATTGGATGAGGAAATTATATTTTTTTTGTTATTCATGTTCAGTATTTAATTTGTCAGTGTTCTATATGGCTGCTTGTAATAGGAGTGACAGATCAGAATAACTAATCTGTGTTTGTGACAGAGCTAGAGCTGTGATTAAAGGGAAGCATGTGTAGCTCCATATAACCCTTTCTTACATAATATATATTCTCCCCAGCAAATCCTAGGGCTCTCATACTAATCTAGCCACTAAAGGAGTTAACCCTAGCAAGTAACTATTGCGGTTTATAAAAATTGCAATAATTACATGTTAAGGGTGATGGGAGTTTGCACCCAGACTATTTCAGTAGGCTGAAGTGGTCTGGGTGCCTACAGTGTCCTTTTAAACTTGGATCCTTGTCCTTCCACATTTTTCTGAATTTCTTTAGCATTTCTGTACAACTAAGTTAAATTCCGGTCTTTATCCTAGAGTTGTACTAGTTAACTTTCATACATTTGAGAAAATAACTTGGTAATTATTGGTTTAAAAGACAAGTCATCAAATATTCACTTTATTTTCTGTATGTTTTTTATATATTTAAAGAAACCATTAAAAAAAAAATTGTGGGGGGAGGAGAGTGAGATCTGTAATCTGATCAACTGCTGCGATGGCACAAACTGGGAGGAAGTTGGGTTGATGAGCAGTTCATGTGATAGCGTCTGACCCAACATGGCCGCTTAGTTGTGTAAAAAGTGAACTATTCAAAAAGCATGTCAAAAAAAATAAAAATTAAGTATCAAGTATTACTTCAACCACCATGACCACTCCTGCTTTTAGAAGTGGTTAGGAAGGAATCTGTATGTGCAGAGCTTCTGCTTGCAATGTGGGATGTATATAGCAGATTCCTGGCAAGTTATTGACTTGGTTTGGAGAGATTTAAATGGTGTAGTGTAATAATTACGCCTATCGTGACATTCTAGACTTCTAAACAAATACATTGACAAAGGATTGAAATAACCTTTTTAATGTAAAACACTTTAAACAAAGTGAAAATTTTAGGACAGTTGTCCTGATTTGTATCATTTTTATTCTTGTGTTCGATTACCACAATGTGCGTCCATGGCAGCAGGATTTCCCTCAGCATACAAGAAATCTTATTGCAATCTCTCACACTAGAGATTCTCAAATAAAATGTAAAAGTTTTAGAGCATGACGACAACAGAAAAAAAAAAATATTCCAAAATGCAAATGTTCCTGTTTCACTAAAGTGGTCGTATGGTTCCCTTTTCTTGTCTTTATTCTGTTACAAGAGATAACGGCAGTTCTGCCAATACAAACGATACGTTTCACTACCTGCGATATGAATTCAACATAAAGAAGCGGGTAATGTTGGTTTCCGGGTCTTTTGATAAAACTATTATAATTCCCTACATTGACTTTTAAATGCAACATAACCAAAGAAACCCATTTAATACCTTAAACATTCATTATCTAAATTTAACAGCAGTTGGAAATGTAAATTAGTTCATAGAGCAATTGTCTCAACTGACATCTTTCACAGTTTAGTAAATAGAACCCCCAATTGATCTGGCCTTGCTATACTACGACCCAACAGAAGGGCTGACCCAGTTCTTTAAAAAGGTGCTAGGAACATGCTTTCACTTAGACACTAAATCAGAAATTCTGTCTTTTTTTTAACATTTCTATAACACCTAAGCTTCCTGTAAAATCCATGAATGTGCTAGAGGCAGTGATTGAATGTGAAGGACAGAAAACACAGCCACAACACAAACACAAAATGCATTGTTTATTTTTGTTAAATGCTGTACAATTTGATATTAAAAATGTTTGATTTTCTTCAGTCTATGGCTTTTCCTCCTTAGCTTTCAATATCTAAATCGCTGCACCACCCTAACCAAGTGGAGACATCATACATAATTATTGCTTAACGTGCATTTATTCTACTTAACACCAAGGGTTTATTCAAAACATATCAAACGGATTAGTAAATTGCAGGGTTTGTTTGAAAAGGCCAAGCTGTGACTAAAGAGTAGGAAACTTTTCAGTTTTTGTTTTAGAGAATTAACAAGACAGATGCCAAGTAAACTTTGTCAATGATTTATTTTACAAAATAGTTTACACACATGAACAAGCATAAGAAGAAGTGCATCCCTGACTCTTGATACATTGCCTCTTGCGGCAAGTACTTAGTGATCCAGTCAGGGTTTGTTCATGGCCATTGGCCACGGACATGCAGTACATGAGATACAATTGCTTAAAAATGGAGCTACTGCTTTTGCATAAGGGTTCGCTCCCAGAATGTCGGAACAAGACCGCAGTAGAAATAATATTCAGTAGAGGCGGATCAAACCCCGAATACTCCTAAGGTGACAAAGTAAGTGTTTGACTGGGGAGTATAATCCATTTAAAGGGGCTAACAAGCATCATGGGAGGGGAGTTCTGAAAAAACTGAGGTGCAAAGACAGCAATAGAAAGGGTTCAGTAATCCGTTTTCATGCTACACCATGCAAGGAGCTAATATTTTAAATTGTCACTGGGTGCAGCGTATGAGCGCTGTGGTTCTCTTGTTCTGCTAGAAAGCTGTTGATTTATAAAGATCACTCTGAATCTGACCCTGCAAATCAATACTGTGCCCTTCTTGCCTCCTGCCACGAGTTATAGCACATTAAAATAAAGACCTTTTAATATGCTAAAAGCAATGAGATGATTATATGAATCTGAAGCAAATAGTGACCCACAATTTGAACTATGTAAAATAAAAAATATCTGACATGGGTACATGTCAAGCAATATAATACAGATATATATACACAAACATCTATTAAAAAAAAACAAAAAAAAAACAAGTCCAAAGCCAACCAGCCTTTCTGCTACACTGACTTAATGGCACAGCATGGTGTTTAAAGCAGAGATCAAGACTACACACACACATGAACAATCTAGTTTGCAGGTTTCAGCGGTGTTCTGGAAGATGGTCTGCGCCGGCTGCTTCTCCTGTGTACCGGAGACTCCACTTTCCATTGGCGTGGCTGAGGAGCGCTGTGAAAATGAACACCGTAAGAATGTTAATTATTACGGTCAACAAACCAATGATCTGACTGCTCTGTGTAAAGTACACCGGAGCCTGGATGTTACCTGGGGGACTGTGCAAAAACAATAAGACTAAGGAAAGGATAGACAAAGTAGACAAAGAATCATTGTGGGCGTCTCATTACTGATTCTCATAGAGAATCACAGGAGCATGGCCATTGTGAGTGTGTCATAGATTCTCACAAAACTTTCAAACAGTTACTTCTAAAGCTCATTTTTACACTATTTAAGGGTAAAAAGCAGTTCGTGACACTAGGTTTACTGTTGGGGGAGGATATGCAATTAGTTTTTTACCTATAGTGTTCCTTTCTGCTGGACTTACAATTCTGAACCAATATAGAAATAAATAATTAGAAAGGTTCCTGAAAGGAACTTCTTATGACTTACGGTCGATCTGGAGACATGATGCAGAGAACATCTTGGGCTGGCTCTTGGGCGGCATCACTTCCCCTCCCAGAGGAAAATGTGTGGTTGGCGCTAATGTAGCTGACCCCCGCGCCAAATGTCACATTATTAATGGTTTCTATAAAGAACAAAGCAAGGTTTTAAGATTCTCTACACTGATTCTCACAGTCATGACCTCAATCACAGATCAAGAAATAAACAGATTGAATAAAGGTTTTCAGTTACATTATAAAATTCATAAAGAATCCCCCCTCTCATGACAATGTGCTTTTATTGATGTACTGTCCTTACATAGTCAACAGCAATACTGGAACAAAGTGTTGCAAGTAAAGCAATCACCATGGAAACCAAAGAAATGTTAATGTCTTTACTATTTAAACTCTGCCCTAGAATTGCTGTTTATAGATCATTGTGTTTTTGCACTGAATATGCAGGTACATTCCCACAAACAATCCTGTTCCACGGTATTTATAATAATTAGTTTCTTTATAATGAAACAGACTGTGCTCATTCTCTTTTAGTACATAGGCTGCTGGGAGTTGGTGATCATCACAATACAATACAATAGGCATCTTCCTTACGGTCAGGAGTGCTGATTGCTCTTCCTTCCATTGAGCTGTTCTCTTGGCTTGGCGTGCGGAAAGACACTGCAGAAAGAAAAATCGATTATTTAAGTCACCGGGTGAAATCTCTGATCACTAGGATAAGCTTTGTCCACAGCCGTAGGTCTTTGGCTGAGGACTTGAGCGTTGGAATCCTTCCTACTGCAAGTTATTCACCATAAGTATAGGGAAACTAATTCCATGTAATATCAGCAACGATGGAAAGAAGTCTAGAAAAAAAAAAGTCTGCAATTACTTAAAGGGACACCATAGTCACCAGAACAACTACAGCTTATTGAATTTGTTCTGGTGAGTAGAATCATTACCTTCAGGCTTTTTGTAGTAAACACTGTCTTTTCAGAGAAAATGCAGTGTTTACATTTCAGCTTAGTGATAACTTCACTGGCCACTCCGCAGATAGCTGTTAGAGATCCTTCCTGGGTCATGGCTGCCTAAAATGCATCCAAACATTCAGTATCTCCTCCCTCTGCATGCAGACACCGAACTTTCCTCATAGAGATTCATTGATTCAATTCATCTCTATGAGGAAGAGATGCGGATTGGCCCGGGCTGTGTTTGAATTGTGCTGGCTCTGCCCCTGATATGCCTCCTTATCAGTCTCAGCCAATCCTATGGGGAAGCATTGTGATTGGATCAGGCTACCACTTCTGATGATGTCAGCAGACATCAGGCAGGTCTGAGCCAGAACGGGGCAGAGCCAGCAGCAACAGGCTTGAATAAAAGTAAGATTTTACTATATTTATGGAGGCATGAGGGAACCAGGGGAATAGATGGTGGTTTTAACACTATGGGTTCACAAATATAGGTTTGTGTTCCTGACCCTATAGTGCTCCTTTAATTCTTTATCCAAAGGGAAAAAGTATTCACAAAGTTGGGAATTGTATATAACTGCAAGTCGGCTGTTTCAGTCTACAACACTTGGTATTAAACTATTCAGTTGTCCCCAATTCCCCAACATTTAAATCCCCAATCAGATTATACAGTCTAATTAATAATGCAGTGAAACACTAATGACGTCTGGCCAAACCGCCCCCCAGTGTAATGATCACCTTGTTTACTGCTGCCCGCACTAAACGGAGAGTGCGTTGATGGGCGCGCTCCGATGCTCTTGCTGCGCTGCTTTCTGTTACTTTCAACCACTTTTTTTGCAGAGTTCAAGATGGCGAAGGTGCTCAATGACATCTGCCTGTGGTAAAAACAGTATAGTTTTTAAAAAATTGTTGCTTTGTCACGTAAAATATTTTCAGAAGAAACAAAGACATGTGCACATGATAATGAAAACGAGCTAGTGACATTGGCGACAGCTTCACCAAACATGGAGTAAACAGCGAGTTATGGCCGTATCTGCATTGCTCCTGAATGACATGGATACACTACAGAGTGACACGTTATCATTTTGACGGCCAAATTTCTTGATAATGTATAGAGATATACTAAACGTGTTATTTTAGGCAATGGTATCCCCCATCCATCCAATATAGGAGGAGTCTCAGGAAGCAGATTAAGCAGAAATAGCATGTTTATCTCCCACGTTAAAGTTAGTGTAGGACTCACCGATATTAGGGTACTCTGACATAGTGGTGGGCTTAACACAATATGGCCATATCGTGGAACTAAAACCCCATATTTGTTTGCCAAGATAGGTAATTTTAAGTAGCCCTGTAATATTTTGTGTGTGTGCTGTTCCTTAATCTGTATTCGGTTTACCAGTGAAATACACCTTGTAGTCTCAGACTGAGCCAAGAACAAAACACGAGTAAAGCAAAGGGACTTACACAGCCCACCTCGTCAACTCAGATGGCAATAACGAGTAACAACAAAATTAGTGTTAATCAATTTACATAGTATAGCCATTTTGTATGCTAGGAAATCATATTTAAAATTGTGCCACTTTTAATATTTAAACAGATATGTTCTCAAGTTAAAAAATTGAATATGCTTAGTCACAACTAGCCAAGGAATATACTCTCATAACATTTGATAAACTTGTTGCTCTCATTTTTTCTTGTATCCATCTGTCATTACTGTGGCAGAACCAACCTCGCCACTGTACACTGGAGAAGCCTGGTTGCTCGCCTGCTCCCTTCAGACTATAGCACTGCAGTTCAGCCCTGTTATTTCCTCTGCTGAAAGGTTTATTCGTGCCTTTCTGCCGGGGTGTTCGGTAGAGTCAATCTACTGAACGATGGACCACCTGGGAACTGGAGTGTGCCGTCAATTGACCGCCCAAAAGCTGCGGTTAACCGCAGCTTAACTGATGAACACTGAGTGGCCTTTGTTCGTCTGCTGAACACGTGGCAGTGGCCATTTTACCTCCCGAACGGCCAGCGGTGTTCAGCGCCCAAACTATGGAACTGAAAACGGACACTTATTGGCGCGAACACCGCTGAGCCGCCAGCCTCCTTACCTCCCCATTCGGTAGCGGAACCGAATGACTGTTCATTCGGTAGTTTAACCAGATGAACAGCATCCCCCAGATAGCTAAGCCATGGAGCCTATTTGTGTAACGAAAGACTATGTGAAAGACTTTGGCTCCATGGCAATTGAACTGTATGTATGTGATCTTAGCGCCATTCGGTAGAAATGTGCGCTCAGATCTAAGCTATCTGGGGATAGGTAGGATGTATATGTTTTATGTAATAAATGTGACTGTATGTAATTTTATGTCTTTTACTGAAAATGTGTGTAATGGAGTTTTGCCTCTGTCCTTGGAAATAATTTGATTACTTCCCAATTATCTCCAGGACAGAGAGGAGGGGTTGTGATGTAATTGTGGGAGTGTTTAAAGGTGTATGTATGTGATTGGCTAAGTGCCAATATGTTTCCCAGTTTCCTATCTGGTCCCCTAGGGGAGTGTCCACCAGGTGGGAGACCTGCATAAAAGCCGGGCAGTTAGCCCCAGTAAACCAGTTCTGCTTGACCTCAAAACGAAGTGTCGTCTCGTTATTGGGGGAATTGGATTGTATGCGGATTGCCAGGAGTGTAAGCTGATTGTATGCTTTTCCTGTTCAGCTGCTTACAGCATTCAAATGCTTGACAGCATTCGTATGCTTCTCCGGTTCGGTGGTTGTGGTGTCTGCTGCAGTGCTTGGAGTCCTCAGGAAGCGCTAGGAGCATCCTTCAACGGAGGTACCCAGTCGGGGTGCCAGGTGATCCGTTACAATTACATTCAACTACAGTGCCACATTATCTCCAGACTTAAGTTTGAGTAGTAATCGTACTATAAGAATGAACTGTACTTTAAGTGATATTTAACGGATACCATTAAACACAGATATATCTAATGATACAGCAGTACGTTTATAGTGCAGTGTGATAAGTTTGCAACGATAAAATTATAAACCTTCAAAGTATTAAGAGTTTATTTGGTAATAAGCATTTATGGGGTTAAACATTATACAAATTGGCAAAAACAACATTTGGTATACGTCAGAAGCCTGGATGTTGAGCGATAATGTACTAACTAATGAATCGTTAGCATTATGTTGATTCTGTGCCACTCCTAAAGATCTATTGAAACTGAACTCTTAATAAACACTGGGGTTTATCAATAAATTGATGAATTGTCAGATTGTACCATAAACTCTATCTCCGTTGAATTTCTCCCAACCGGTTGAAACAACTAAAGTTTGTCCATAAATGGTTTGATTCCTACAGAGAAGGTTGGCCAACCGTAGAAGATACACCGGTCTGTTAAAGAATCCATAACAAAGAGTGTATACATTTCATGTAGGTTATGCCAGGTGGTTAGTCCCTAAACCAAGAATTGTCCAGGAAATTTTACATTTTAGGTCAAACTGGATGCAAGTTTAGATGGAGGTTTTTCTTAAAGCGACACTGTCATGCCGAACTTACCTTTCCCCAATCGATTCCTCTTCTCTCCCTCTGTTAGGATCTGTTCTTCATTTCTTCCTGTCTGCTCTAGTTTTCTTTAAAATCATAAGACAGAGTAGGGACTATTTGTCTTATGGATGTTTCCTATGCCTGACCATCTCTGACCAGCGGAGGAGCGAAGTGTGCTTCATTTCAGATGGTCAGAGAAATTTTCCCACAATTCTCACCTTTCCTCCATGTTACCGCGATGCCTCCTTTCACATTTCCCTAACATCCTGTCACTTAGACAGAACGCCGGCAAAACTACCGAATTTCGTCCTAACAGAATGAGAACAGTTTCTCCATTCGTGTTAGGACGCAATACAGCACTTTGTTCGTATCGGAATTTCATTAGAATGATTGAAACTAATTCGTGCCGCGGCTGCATCTTGCAGCCGCTTAGTAGATCGCTCCCTAATTCCCACGGTATCAGGGAGCTATCTACCAAAATGCTGAAAGACCTAAATTGGTCTTTCAGTCAAATTTACTAATACTAAGTAAAGATTACTTCGTATTAGTAAATCTGTCCCTACACGCTATTCCGTGAGTAGGGGCATGTGTAGTAAACCGTGAGCAGCCTGTGGCTTCTCACTATTTAAAAAAAAAAAAAAACCCCAGTATCCCCCCTCTTGTGCCGCGCAGGTGGGGGCTACTAAACTGAACAGGGGATCTATTGCCCCACCCATGAGCGGCGGGTGGGGGCCCTAAATTGTAATAAGGGGGTGAGTGGGGTGGGGGGGAGACAGGCAAGTCTTTTCATTTACTTGTCACAGCGTGGGAAAATTCCAAATAATTTTTTTTTTCCCCGTCAGATTTTTTTTTTTTTTGGGTGGGGGTGTGACTAGGGGCTTGGGGACCCCTAGTCATCTGGAAAGGGGGAGAGTGATGGGGGGGGAATCAGTTGGGGAGAGAAGAGGAATCAGTTGGTGAAAGGTGCCGCTTTAACTCTAGAATTTTAATTCCCTGGTAAATTTGTGGTGTGGCAAATAACCCTAGTAGAATGTATTTTCTTGTATCTGTGAACGGGTTGTTATTGGCCACAAACAGAGCCCATTTACAAATCCTTATAGAAAATGTGAAGGGTTAAAGACTAACTCCCTTATGACCAAAGCTAGGAATCACCCCTCCTATCGCTCTTCCTTACCTGGGTCTCTGAGCTTGCAGAATGCCAACACGAGGTGTGGTAACTGGTGTACTCAGTGGGGTGCCTGGTCTGGCTTGCACACTGCATGGTACAGGCGATCTGGGGGGTGTCGCACCCTTTACACCACGTGAAGACCCCTGAAAGAATTGTTACAGTAATTCTAAGACCAGTTGTCTTTTAGCACAAATCAAAAACACGTGTGTGTGTGTGTGTGTGTGTGTGTGTGTATATACACACACATATATATGTTCAGGTGAGTGCAGCCAACCCCCCCTTGGTTCATATACACACACATATATATTTATTTGACCTATAGTAGCATGTGTGTACAACATACATTTAAACACCCACATCATCATGTAAGCTACTGTAGGTCAATACCTGTGTTTATCTACAGCCGGTCTTAATAATAATAATTTTGCAGTTCATAAATATCTTTAAATTTCTAATTGTTACCATACTTTTACATCTGGATTGTATCAGACTAATATTGCACCACAGTTAACTGAGCGCGATTACAATGTATCCTCCTTCTGAATACAATGATATTTGTACTGGGGAGAATCGATAAGAGGATTTCTAATGTTATGCCAAAATAGCAGAAGTGAAGTAAATGATAGAGTTGGAATGTTTTTCATTTTGGCCTTAAATTTTAGTATATTCTTTCCAATTCCTAATTTAATGAGTAAGCTCAGTTCTCTAAACCCCCCAGACTCACGGTTACTCTCATAATATTCATTGTTTGCCTTAACTCTAGAGCTGCATTATAGTGCCTCGTGTTGTGCTCATCTATGCCCTTCTCAATTTGTTCTGTGTATGTCCAAAAATCCCAGGTCTGTCTCTAAAGCTTAATTCTGGGAAACAATCTCCTAAACAAAACAATCCCAGCCAATGAACCCAAAGTTTCATCTCCACCCCAGTAAGTGATCCAATCACCAGAAGTAAGTTGAGCCTCTTCACTGCCACTGACCTGTGGGGTTTGGGGGGGTTCGGTCACAGGAGCTGCACCTAATTCTACTTCTGGACTCTGATGTCTCTCCCGTTCTAACTGTTCCTCGTATTTCTTCATGTCGTAATCCAGCTCAGCCGCAAGCTGCTTGTCTGCTGCAAAGACGTCTTTTATCTCATTGCGGTAATCCTGCATCATCTCCTGCAAGTGGAAGAATTGGGCATTGATTTACAGACTGTGTCTTTCCGGTCTACATAAGTTGTCCCAAGCTACCCGTGCTACTTACCCGCAAGTAGTTCATTAAGTCTCTCACAGCTGGGATGCGATGCTGCTCCAAGAAGCCTTTCAGGGACGTGATAATAGGGATAGTGTTCTCTATAAAATTCTTCTTTTGTACCTATGCAGGGTAAATTGGAAGCCAATTTTAGGGACTGTACACTTTTAATAATTCCGTACTGTGTGTAAATTTGTACTCATACCTTGTACCCTAAGAGATCAGATTTTCCCTACACCGCAATCAATTTCCTTAATTCTATACATTTTAAAATACGGCAAACATTAATACCATAACTTTAATCATACCTTCACCTACCAAAACGCAGTGAAAGGGCCTCCCACAAACAGTGAAAACGCACTGTACACAAAGAATTTGTCCATTTCTCTATAACAAAAACTCACCTGAGATATGATTTTTTTCTGCGCCACTTGCATCACTGCGTTCGCCATTGCCATCTCATCATCGTCAGGACCAATGTCTTCCCCAGGCTTGGATCTCATGGCCAACAGTTTAATCTCTTTACAGCTCATTATCTCAAATATGTCAGACAGTAATTCATTTGCTTCCATGTCAATAGGTAAAACGCCATCTACAAAGCAGGCTGCGAGAGGAAGAAGCCATGAGAATATAACGGAGTGCACAGTAAGTGACTTTACACACCATTCATTTTAGTGGGTCATGAAGGTGCAGTGAATGTGACATTTATTTACAAAAAAAAAAAAAAGCTTAGGTACTCCCCCCTCTGCCTTAATCCAGGGCTAAAAGGGTATCCGTATTCTACCAAAAGCAGTCTGTGATGACTTACAAATACCACAAGTCTACACTTGTGACTGCTCTGATGATCACCAATAATAGTGCCTCCGTGACAACAATCGATAACAGTGGGGGAAAAGGTTTTTATCCCCTACGATATGTTATGGCGATTTCTGATACTTCTATTACATACAGAGCTTGATCTCAACATGTAATCACTTGCTACGCAGTCCTTATTGACTTTGGCAGAGAGTTGAGAAGAAGCTAGTGTTTAGTTCAGGAGAACCTAGCGGCTTTCCTTTGACTCTATATTGGAAGGAACACACTGCAGACCCCAAATAAGAACCAGTTGTGGAACAGGTAGCTCCGTTACCTACCTAGAACATTTTGACTGAGCTTCATTGTAAGGGTGTATCTTTGCTCATCTGTGAAATGTTCTAACAAGAACTTGTAGATCTTCATGCGTTTATCTTTGTTCTCTGCTCCCTTGAGAGAAAAGAGAGCCTTCTCCCTGACAAACCAAACATACATTAGGATGGGAGAAGCACAGATATACTATTTTTGGATAGACCGGACTGCAGACCTCACCTCTCTGTCTGTGCAAACTTATTGTACTTCTCGTGCTTCTGATAAGAGTTGAAGTGGAAGACGCACTCAATGAAATGCTGTGAGAACATGACCGGGTTCCTTTTCAGCAGCAGGTGAACCAGACAGAACTCCCCAAATCTGTGAAGCAAAAAAGGGGAATACATGTGTAATGTCTCCATTGAAAGGGAGAGAATCGCTCAAGATAAGAGAAGAAAAACTTACTTGGCAATATCTGGGTCAGAATCCACGAGGACACTAACAAATCTGAAGAAAAGGGAACCCTTCCACTTTACAAACTCCTCCTGGTGGTGGGAATAAATCATGGCAAATTCAAAAACAAGTTATGAAATAGAACAAACCTTACAGATTAAATAGAAAAAAGTGACAGTAATTCCCTCATCCCAGTTAACACTGCAGGAGTGCTTACTACGTGAGGAATTTAGTGGAGGAAATACACCTAATGCTTCATCTATAAGCAAGGGTAGCAACCTTCAGCACCCCAGATATTGTGGACTACATCTCTCCTGATGCTTCGCCAGCATTACAGCTGTAAGAGATGTAGTCCACAACGGTTGCCTACCCCTAATCTTTAGGTTAAAACACGTGTGAACGGTCTTCACTTGCGTTCCAGGTCAATGTCTGGATGTTCGGTCTCTACAGTAGAAAACAGACATCTGAGAAAAGTGCAAACGCTGCAAACCCGGGGGATTTATAGCAAATGCAGGAACCTTCACATGCAAGTATCTGATTTTAATATTTTTTTATATTAAAAAGGGTCATCTCAGTCCTACACAGAAGGGGGTTAAAAGCAGCTGCTCAGAACAGATTCTGAGATAAAAAAATATCAGCTTTACCTGCAGCAGGTTGGTCAGCATGATGAGCGTCTGCTTTCGGATGAACGGATCTCTATCTCGGAGACATACGGACACATTGGGTATATATCTGTCCACCATGGTGGTGTACCGTATGCAAAGGTCACATATCACGATGATCACGTTGTTACGAATAGCCACGTCGTTGCACACCTCTAGCTCACGGGCCAGAGCCGGGATACATTTCTTAGCCAGGTCTTCATGCTGCAGACACAACTTCCCTGTAAGTGGAGTAACCGACCATTAAGCGAAGGGACGAGCTCACGGAGCATTACTGTCAGATTTAATAGACACCACAATTCCAAGGCCCGATCTACAAAGGACCTTACCGAGTGTAATGAAGGCATGTGCACGGACCAGGGGTGGCATGTTAGACCCTCTGAACTGAGAAAGGGGTTGGGACTCTGGTATTTCCTCACTCTCAGAGCGGCAGGAATCTGAAAATACATAACCAGAATGTCAGGAGGAGCCAGGATGGAAGCAACAACCATGGGGAAATAACAGAAAACTACTGACTTTGACCTGAAACAGAACTGGCCAGAATGGACTGAACCAGCAGCAAGACTCGCTTTCCTACCCGTGCCGGACATTGCTGGGCAGCTTCCCCCAAGGTAAAGAGATACTTGACCTGAAGAATGTAAACAAAGGAATTATTAAAATGTCCCCCTTTTACTTCAAGATGCCTATCAGGATTTCACCTAGAATTTGGATAAGGTTTGTCAAAACTCCTTCAATATTGAAGTAATAATAAACTTTTTTTGTTTCACTGGTAGCTGAGGTGTGCCCATGTTACCATTTAGCTGCCTCCCAGCACTCACTGCTCACTATCTTCAAAAGGGAGAACGCACATTTTTAAAAAATGTCAAAAAACTAGTGGCGTTTGACAAAAACTAGAACCACAAAGACTCATTATACCATAACCACTAGCTGTAGTAGTTATGGTGCTTAGAAAGTCCATTTAAATATAGGTTAAATATCTAATTTACTTGTGAAGTTGTATTGTCACACAATAAGGACAAGTTCTGCAATTCGATCAGATTTTCTTTGACGCTGCACATTCTCAATGTATATAATGTTCACATGACAGCCAGAGTCTCCATAAAAACGTACCATCAGTTCCTGGTCAAGCTGCTCGTCTCTGCAATCCGCCATCACTACAGAGGAGAGATATCCTTCACAGGCCTCAACTAAATCGCCACAAACATCATTGAGCAGATCCTGCAGGAATAAGACTTATTAAATTAAGGGTATATTGCAGAAAACAAACAGGGTTCCTGCATAGAACATTATTACCAGAGGAAGGGGAGATTATCTATTGGCGGTCTTACCTGTGCATCCTCAGGGCTGTCAGAATGGGCATAGCAGAGCTTCTGCAGACTCTCCACAGACGGACTAATAATCTCTGGTGTGGACTTAAACTCCTTCAACCAAGACTTTAAATGATCTACAACAGAGTGGCGAATAAGACAAGACGTCTGTTTCAATCAACGTGTGTGTACATAGAGGTCTATGCCAGGAACTAACTGACACGTGGAAGAGGGATCCTAATTTAATTTTTTTTTTTTGTTATACAAATGTTTAACCATTTATCATCTGTTTGCTGGCATTGCTGGTAGAATACGTCAATGCCATTTTAAAGCCAGTGTAGCTGTGACCGTATACTTTAATAACACGACCTTCTCACAGAATGTAAATACTCTAGTGTGATCTATATAGCTGGCTTAGGCAGCCTCCATCCCCATTACCAATGAAACAGAAACTGGAAGATAGCTTACCAATCAGACCCCTTCTGGTGTCAGCAGGAAGATGTTTAGCAACGTGACCAATCACACACAGTATATGCCCAGTAGTGGTGGTATTGGCATTAGCCTCCCTACAAAAGATTTGAAAGACAGAGTCAAGCAATCACATGATGGTGTATTCGTGTTACTTTGATACGTGTGGCTGAAAAGTGTTGTTTTTTTGTTTTTTTTAAATTGATTAAGTCAGTACAGCTTCTTTATTATTGAAAATGTTTTTTTTTAATCACTTTATCATACATATGACAAAATGGTGAAATTTACATACAAGACAAAGACAACTGTGACAATAACAAACATATAATTTACATTATTACAACTGTTCCAATCTTAATATCAGGTAATTCCCAAGCTAAACAGCTAAGGATATCTTAATAAAAAGATAATTTATATCTTATAGAACTGTTGTCTAAATAAAAATAAATATGGGCCAAGGTCAGTCTAAACATCATGGAAAAAGAAATATCACCGTAGTGAGATTTTCTATCGAAGTCTATCGAAATCTAAGGAAAGAAAAAATACAAAGAGATAATTCATTTATTTTCCAAAGTTCGAATCCAATTAATGTATTGGTCTTGTTTATTTACAAAAAGTATAGAGGAGACTGGTAAATCCTTTTCCATTTGGAGTTGAAATAGAACTTGATTGACAAGCTGACTCCTCAAGAAAGGAAGATGCGACTTCCATTGTCTTGCTATTATTATTTTTACTGCCAAGAAGCAGTGGTTTACAAGGCATTTAGAAGAAGTGGAAGAAAGTTTCCAGTTTAAATGTAACAGTGCTGTATCCAGGCCTTTTTTAATTGTAATATTAAATAAACATTTAAGTATTTCAAAGGACCACTCCCAAAGATTTTTAACTAAACTACAATGCCACCATATATGAACAAGTGTTCCCTCTGGATAACCACAACGCCAGCAGTGGGGAATTTGACCTGGATACATCTTACTTAATTTATATGGAGTCAGATACCATTTATACATAACCTTACATTGACATTCAACTAAATTCTGACAATGAATATATTTACGGGTATCTTTACGAGACGTACACCATTCCTGCTCAGTTATGTCAATATTTAGGATATTTTTCCATTCATCAAGTATCTTTAAGGGTTGTTGATCAAGGATGGATAGCAAGTTAGTAGCTTTTGAAATAATTTTATTAACCTTAGTATTTCTAAAGATGGTTTGAATAAGAATATCAATTTTTGGTGACGTATTTAATAAGAACTTATTCAAGAAATTTTTAATTCTTAAATAAGAGAAAAGTTCTTTGTTAGGGAGAAGGAGTTTGGCTTGAATATCAGCAAAAGGTAAAATTTGGTCGTCATGGAGGATATCCCCAATCGTCCATTGAAATTTAGACCAATTATTTAAAGAAATATCCTCGATATTATCTTCTAAAATGATCAAATGAGATGACTTAATTATTTTGTCGGAGATTTTTTGTTGTTTTTTTATCATCTCCCAAGCACTAATAATTTGTGACAAGATTAATGATTTACTACATAGAAATTCTATAGTTTTTTGTTGTTTTTAAGCCATAAATATATTTCCAATCTAACTTTTCCAACTGCCTCGGTTGGAAAACTTAGATGTGTCTGTTTTAAACGATTCAACCTGGAGTTTATATATGTGACCAATAATGTTGGCGTAATAACAATTTCTGATATTTGGGTAGTTTATACCTCCGTTTTGGGGTTTCCTAGAGAGAACTTTAGAACTTATTCTAGGCCTGGTCGTTTTCCAAATAAATTTTTGAAAACTAGATTGTATCATGGTTAACCAGATATCTGGAATTTGAAGAGGAATCATCCTAAATAGATACAACCATTTGGGCATAATATAAGCGTTAATTATGTTAATCCTGCCGATCCAAGAGGATTCGGTCAGGCGCCATTCTTTTAATTTTATATTTGTATATTTTAGGAGATTCAATACATTTATTTCCATAATATCGTTAACTTGAGATGAAATTATCACGCCCAGATAGTTAAAAACATTATTAGACCATACGAAATCGTAATTATCTGGTAGATCTTTTAAACTGTGGATGTCGACATTAATAGTTACAGCAATTGATTTAGATATATTAAGTTTATAATTAGATACCTTAGAGTAGCTTTTTATATCAGATAAAACTTGGGGAAGAGATGATTCTGGAGAAGTAAGTGTTAATAATATATCATCGGCATAAAGTTATATTTTTGCTTCTGAATTCTTCGTTAGAAAACCTCTGATATTCAAATTACTCCTAATATTAATAGCTAGGGGTTCTAAAGTTAAGATATAAAGAAGGGGAGATAGGGGACAACCCTGGCGTGTACCATTATATAGACTAAACCAATTTGATTGAATGTTTACTCCTACAGTTCTAGCTGTTGGTTCGGAGTAAAGTGCCAAAATGCCATCATGAATCCAACCTGTGAATCCAAAAGAAGTCAGCACCCCTTCAAGGAAGCCCCAACTGACCCTGTTAAAGGCCTTCTCAGCATCCAATGACAGGGTCAGCAGTGGAATCTCCCGACGGAGTGCACCATCCAAAATGTTCACTACAAAGGATTTGAAAGACAGAGTCAAGCAATCACATGATGGTGTATTCGTGTTACTTTGATACGTGTGGCTGAAAAGTGTTTTTTTTTGTTTGTTTTTGGATTTTTTTTTTAAGGCTGCAGATTTTGAAAAATGCATAATTAAATGCATGCATTGTTTTCATTTGGAGTAAATCTACTAAATAGTGATATATATTGTATTTGGACAGTGGAGTATCCCTTTAATGTTATTATTAAATCCACGTATGACACTATATGGAAGTGGTATATATATTCTGTTATAAGCTGAACACTACTGCAGACACAGTTACACCAGTTTAATGCTTAGACAGGTAAACTGACTGATCAGTAAGCATGGTCTATAACGACAGAAAATGAACCGGTCTGTAAAGGATTTCTCATTTTAGGGATAGCCCAAGAGAAAAGACTACAACACAAATGAAATGAAGCACAACAAGTCAGTAAATGCACCTCAATAATATGTGTCACAGTATTTTAAGCAGTTTTTCTTTTTAATTAGTACTGGTTGGTTATGGTCAGGATGACATTTAAATCTTCAACATCTAAAGCATAGGTCAGAACAGAACATCATCTTACCTGCTGACTCTGTCCCAGGAGTTTATAATTTTGGTGTAATCCAGCTTTGGTGAAGAGCCGGCTACCTTAGCCAGAACCATCCATGCCGGAGCAGAGTGTTCGGACTCCGTGTGAGAGATCAGGTTGTTCACAAGAGTTGCTGAAAACTTATTTTGTTTTGACCACAAGTGAAAGGCTTTTGTCAGATAACGGCTGCCAGAAAGAGATACAAAGTGTTAACCAGTAATAAGCTTAGCAGTTGATTCTCGTGTCTTTAAAAGGTTATATACTGGTTGCTGGTATAAATATGAATTACGGTTTATTCCTTAAATTGGAAGCTGTGCAGAACCGACAAAGAAAAATACAAGTTTTAGGCAAAAAATAGCCAAATGGAAACATTCTCCAGATCAGCTATTTTGGACTAAAACTTACATTACCCATGTCAGTTCTCCACAATTTATGGTTTATTGACTAAAGCCAAACAGCAATTGGCTTCCACACCATGACTCAACCCACCCACAGAACAGACAAATTTAGGAGACCAAACATAGGCAAAACTATTCATTCAAAATGGCAGCAAAAGCCTGGTTCTCTATAAACTTCCACTTTCCATATGACCAAGCCATATACAATGGTTGAAAAGAAAAATCCTCGTCTGCATCTCCTCCAGTACAATTCTCATCATGCTTTACCAGCCTCAAGAGTGACTGCGCATCAAAGGAGTTGTAATTCTAAAACAGCTGAGGATATACCGTTTGGTCACCTCTGCTATAAAACCTCAATAATATAAATCTGGTGGCTCCCAATCTACTTACTAAAAGGTTTAAGAATGAGGTCCCCACCTGAGCTCCTGGCTTTCCGTGGTGAGCAGTGTCAGCAAGTCCCACGTCAGTTTTTGTTTCTCATCGCTTGGCCTGTAGCGGTTATAGTGTGTGATACTCTGCAGCATTAGCTGTTCCAGACATTCCAGCGCTTTCTCCTGCACGGTGCTTTCCGTGTCCAGTACCACAGGGACCAGGCCAGTTAGCCAGGCCTTCTGGATCATGGTGTTCTGGGGCTGAGCCTGCAAGGTAATCAGAGACAACACAAACACTTCATTTTGAATAAAAAAAATGTATAAAGTAACATTTATTTTTAAAATGTGATTTACAACTTGCACTAAATTATAGGTTAAAACAAGAGAAGGTTGGCGAGGCAGCATGGAATTCCAGCAGAGAAAAGAGACTTTGTGTAGGGTGAAGGCCAGCGTTCATGCAAGAGGATGGGATAAACAGAGCAAGGACACACGATTAAATGACCACACAGCAATCCAAACGTCTTTTGCACACTAAATGTAAGTGAACACCGTGTTTGACTGTAAGTTACTAAGAAATCACTAATCATTCCTGCAATGAATCAGTATGTAACTGCACTATAGACGTAAACCCACCAGGAGAAGTTCAGTCAGGGACGTCAGTGCCTGTTTGCGCACGGACACAGCAGGATCTCGGCAGCGGTCTTGGACAGTATGAAGGTCCTCTGAGCTACAGGGAATCAGATTATACTTCAGGATATTGACCAGGACCTGTGTATGGAGAAGAGTGGACACAGGGTGGGCTAAAGGAAAATTAACTCTCTAACAAAGAGGTGCTGGCAAAATGTAAAAAGTCTGTGTGTAACTTGAATTCATCAGCAAGTTAAACATCCCAGAGTCCTCTTTAGCATAAGATGATAATAAAAGCACCACGTTTTACCTGAAGGGCAGATTTCCTCACATTTGTCTTCTCATCCCCTGCTCTCTGCCGCAGCATCGCCAATGTATCGGTTCCTGTTATAGAATAGAAACAAAACAATTGTCAAAAAACATTTAATTCACTGACCAGTCAAATCATCATATTCAGAGGACGAAAAAAGACCCCATAGCAATTTCACCATGGGACTTACTGGCGGGGTAATTCCAATAAAGTATAAATTCCAAATTAGGTATTAAATAACGTTAAGTACCATTTAAAGTTCCAGGGTTATTCACTAAATGGTGATTTGGCAAAAAAAATCACTAGGAAACTCCAAAATTAAGGACAAAATAGGAGAAGATTTTTTTTTTTTTTTTTTTTGATTTGGCTAGTTTGGCCTAAAATGTGAAACTTCTGGGTACATTCCTGACAGTTCACAGTTTAGTGAGGATCCGTCTTTACAGTGTGAAAATAACCAGGACTCTCATACATGCAGCTTGAAGGCTTCCCAGCCTGCAAGGATCAGCTAGATAAATGCAAATGAGCACAACATGTGTGAATTCGTTCTGTTCATTCCTTAATCTGGTTTGTCTAATTAGGCCCCAGAATTATAACTGCACAGGCCAAACCGATCTACTGCCTTACGGGTAAAGTACAGCATCAAGCTCTGCACAGCATATGCAGGCATTGGCAATGAAAGACCCAAGGAGACGGCCATGCAACAAGGATGACAATTTGTTCCATTTGTCCGGCCTCCGCTGTGAAACCAGCAGTAGCCCACTTTGTAAGCCCAGACTGGCTACGACATTAGTATCAATATCTTAAAATATACAATTTCAAGTTTTTTTTTTTTGAATTTTTTTAGCTTAAAAAAATAAATAAATAAAAGTAAGGAAAACAAAAACACATTAGGTAAGACTGTTCAAGTTTTATCGACAGGCACATTTAAAAATTTTGCTCTACAGAAAGAAAACCAGGTGTAACAGTCGAGAGCCACTTGGGCCAGGCAAGTGAAGAGTGTGCGTTTTTTTGTTTTGCAAAACAAACACCTCATCTTTAGAGTTTTTGTGCACCGCACATCATGAAATAGCTGAAAACTCCGAGCCAACTCTAGTCATCATACTCAAAATCTGAGCAAGAACGTGTAGTTCAGCATTTGGCAGGTGTTTCATTCATGTAACTGGACATAATGATATTCATGTTTTGCCATAAATGGAGATCTAGATGGTCAAACAAGGAGAAAGCCATCACAGGAGCTGGGGAGTTGCATGGGGTTTTGCCAAAACTGCTAAAGGTCTCCACAACCGAGAGATGGGAGACAGGAATACTGGGGCTCCTTCCACCATAACTTATACCAGCATCAAAGGTTATTATAGGGCTATAAAAAGCACAATGGAGATTCCTTGAAAAGATACCTTGAAAAGATACCAACGGTATGATAGTATGTATGCAATAAAAAGAAAAGCTTTACTAAGCAGTATACTTGCCATCTGATCTCATGGAGTCACCACCATCTGTTACTTCAATTGTTTTCAAAGCACCCAACGTCTTGTGAGGCTGAGCTGCAAAGAGTACAATACATAGAAAATGGAAAATATTCCAACCCAAGTTTCATCCGTTCAATAATCTACAAAAGGCACGGTGAAAATGTACTGGATAGCTATAATGGTTCGTTAAGGGATACTACAGTAAAAGTGCTCAATTCTAGCATGCATTTAAATGGTATGAAGCACAGAGTAGCTTGTAATAAAGTATTTTAGGTTTGAGATATAGATATATACATATAACTCGCTCTCTCTCTCTCTCTCAACATTTTTACTTGCCACTAGCCAATGGAGAGTGAAAATGTAGCCCAGGCAAGTAGAAGTTCTCCCCTGAAGGCTATGCTATATGGCCAGTAACGTTTAAGGTCTAGGAAGTAGCAGAAGGCCTTTTAAACCCTGTGAGTATGTATATACTTGTCAGGGCTCAAAATTTCCACTCATCACTATCCCTAGTGAGAAGAAATTCAACACTGATAAGTAGGACATGGACTCTACAGGCTTGTTAATCCAATCATGCAATTTGTAAAAAAGACAATCTTAGTTAGACATTTCAGGATAGTGGCCCTTTAATACTACGCATTGGATTTCTTATAACTAGCCGATAAAGCACACTCAATTATTGACAGATACCCAGTTTACTAAACTGTGATCAATGAACCTGCCACAGTATTTTCTCTTTTACCAAGTTGCAGGGATGTGTGACAACAGCTGCAGTAACATGGACAGTAAAATAAAATAAAGATATATAAACCATGGCTATCCCACAAGCATTTTTTTTATTTAAAAAAAATAAATAAAAAATTAGGACTAGGACAATGTGTTTCAAATACATTTTGTGGCTTAAAATATGGTTAAATAGTGTGTTGAAATTGGGAGGCTTGGATTTCATTAAAAACATGATTGTGGATCATTGACAACGAAAGATCAAATTTAAGGCCAATATAGAAGTGTCAGGGTTTTTCAAATCCAGCTATTTTGGCCTAAAACTTGCTATTCCCTTGTCAATTCTTCACAATTCCCAGTGTTGGTAAATAATCCCCAACTTTTTATACATCAGGCTTCTCGTATGCCTGATCTCCGCTAAA